AGACCAAATTCGCAATATTTTTATTTATCAATGATATTTACAACTTTATTAAAGAAATCCGTGTAGCAAATTTGTTCAAATGGATATAATGACGTGAAAACACTCGTCGAGAAACTACTGGTAGCACTTTAAATAATATGTCTACATTAGGAGATCACGAGGCCATCTTATTTTCAGACGCCTCGGAGGGTTATTAGGAATCAAAAAGGAAGCAAGGTCGGAAACGAGAGGGTTGGGATGGTTCTGAAGTTTATTATGGAAGGACAGGTATCTGGATTGGGCCAAATCTGAAACATAAGGAACATTAAGGTCATTATGGATGATTTAATTTGTAACAAAGTAGGGAGCATTTAGGATTTTACGAAGTATTTTGGATTGGATATGAGAGGAGTTCGATGGTTTAGTGGAGCCCGATAGCTCAATTCCGTAAGTCCAAATAGGGCTTATTACAGTCATGGATATGAGTCTTGTAAATAATTGGAAGTTTAAAGCGTTTGTCTAGTAAGTGCTGAAGTAGTCTGTAACGTCGAGCCGTTTCTCGCCGTTTCAGTCTAGTATGAGGATTCCAAGTTAGCCAATATGTTAATTTACAAGTCAAGTGAAGTGAAAAAAAAAGATAGAATGAGATTATTCTATAAATAAATAGAATTTCATATATGTAGGTAAGATCATCAGACACCAGTTCCTAGTGAATTTTAACATTCTTACTTGAATTATAGACGCTTCTTATATATTGTCCATAATTGGATTATAGTCTGAAAATGGCATCCTCGCCGAAACGTAGCCAATGTATAAAGAAAATGAATGTGGGGAAATAACATGCATAGCCTTATGCAGGGGCGCCCTTATACTTATATTTATACAGGGGTGCCCATCCCTCCTCCCTCCCAGGTCAATGGGGCATAAATCTTCTCCTTCCCCTCCCTAAGATATTTTATTGTTCTCCCCTTATTAAAAACATTAGAAATAAAAGTGCCGTAAATCAAATACAATTACACTTGCTGAGGTTTGTTCCATGTATTCACTTTGTTTCCTCGTTTGAAACTTTTCAATCCGGAAATTCATAACTCCGACGAAATGTGCCCCCCTCAAAAATTCAAAAACCTCGTCAAAATGTGCCTTCCCCCTCAAAACTTGTGATGGCGCATCTTGCGCCATGAAATCCCCTTGTGGACACCCCTGTTACTCTATATTATTATAATTAATTTGACCTAAAATAAAATTAAAAAAAATTAAATGTTATGTAAATTTAAATTAATGAATTTAGTTGTATCAACATATATTTTTATTTTGTGTAAATAAAATACATTTTTATTATCAGAGGAGGAAAGTTTCAAATATTTTTTTGTATTTTGGGTTTTAAAAAAATATACAGTTACAAGCAATGTATTTTATCGTATTGTACCAAAAAAGTATTTTATTTTGTATTTTAAAATATTTTATTTTATTTTTTCATCTTTAAATTGGTAATTCATTTTACACTTGTATAAGTAGATATATTTTATATTACATTAAATATGGAATGCAATAATGCTTTGTGAAAACAAAAGCAAACGAAGAAGACGCCATCGATGAACCACAGGACCGCAGCAGAACCAGGAGATAAGGCATTAAATCTAAAAGCATGAGACCGGCCCCCTCTTATTATTGTATTTAACTTAATTTCCAGGCCCCTCATTATTGTACACTCGGTCCACTACCAGATGTGCAATACTGTTACGGGGAAGCGAGAGTTAGGCAAAAACATGGTGTTCCAAATCTTTACATCAGTATATTTGTCTGTACTACGATATTCATAGATAAGCAGGAGAACGGAATGATAGCTGCGGTGATAAGGTTTCTCCGAAGATTTGTATGGAAAACAAGAAGAGACTATCCGCAATCAGAAAACGGCAAAGAACGAGAGGGAAAGTCCACTCGGTGAAGGAGGCCCAAGAGTATCATCATCTGAAGTGGTTTGGCTATGTTGTCTAGATTAAGGAACACCGAAAACCACTAAAAACGATGGACTATGCCACACACAGTGATACACAAGAAGGCCCCATGATCGATCAAAGATGTAGTACCTGGAATACGTCGACCTTTTGTGCAAGAGAAGACAAGACGAACAGATCTCCACCAATCCATGAACCTGACAGGAAACAGAGAACAATGGCAGGCTGGTTAAACGCTCGTAAACATAAATTAGTAATGATATAATCATCTTCGCTGGCCACCCAACGATTTGACTCTCCAATCAGTCATCTTTCAGCACTTTTTTATCTCTTCACAAATCTTTTTCCTCAGTACCTCTGCAAATGCTTTCAGCTGTTTGTACGTCGAATTTGACGGTGTGCTATAGTAGAATGAAATCCAGCGACATCACTCTAGCCAATACCATCACCTAGTGTTTTCTTCTGCGATTAAGTGATATGACAAAACCATACCTGGTATTTCAACCTCGAAATAACTAGTACAATCTCTTAATAAATGTTTATCCTCGTCGGCTGCCAGAGGAACCAAAACACATCCCTTCATTCTCAATACTCCGTGAATCTAGTATTCTCAGAAAGTAATTAAACTTACATAAGACCAGACTGAGAAAATAGCCTCTTTAGCGGTTTCCTTTCCTCAGGTAGAATCAAATTATCGCGAGTGGCTCGTCGTCTGTAGGATTGCCCACAGATTTATAACGCTAAGATGATGAAGGGCTATACAGACAACAGGGAGGATTAATCGGAACACCTAAGGCTTATTATTCTTAACACTCCGTTTATACTAAAAAATTGCTAACCCGCAGCCACAAGTCGGTGAACTTCTATTGGCTTATAGAATGTTTCCTATCCAGGTATTCATTGAAGATATCCAAAGAAGTTCACGAACGAGGAGGAATGGAGCGCTGTTTAAGATCGTTGCAATGACGCTGCCATGTCCAGGAGATCAAAAATATTCTGCGTGGCAGATGTCCCAGAAATGCCATTGTGTGCATATATCCGTACCTGGAGGATATCCTATTATGCATCTAATCATCCTAATATCTTTAATGACTTTAGGGCCACTAGGGAATATGTAACATTTTCAACGTTTCCCGTACGGTGTCTTTCAGGCCTTCTTCACGATCTTCTCCACTATAAACACGCCCCAGGACGTGTTCATCTTCTTGTTCCACATCTCGTTCCGGTACTCAAGATAGTTACACCTACTCTCTTTTTTGAGAGCAACTCTTCCCTTATTCCTATCTACAATCCTATTCGTGTCCACCATGCGACCCACTGCATTCTCATTCTGCGTCGGGTGGGCTTCTCCGCAGCTTCTTTGATGATACAAGCCAGCATTGTCATTCTCTATTCGATTTATGCTCCTTAATATTGGTTGTTGTCACCTCCCACTCCTTTAGAACTAAGGCAGAGTATGAAGATTGAAAATTCTGAAAATTATGTTAAAATATTTTAGGTACGTTCTCACGATCAAGAAATGGACCCCAAAAGTAAATTCTTAGGTACAGATGTGAGAGAAGGAAAGCAGGATATGGCAGCTATACATACTTCAAACGATCCTCATAAATTTAGCATCAGATCCAGTTTTCAATGTCTATTATACTATCATGAACTCTAATCCATTTGTCTATCATTTTTCTTATATTCATTACCAACTTATTCTTGTCCTGTTAATGTTATATTTTCATCGAATTGTTTTTGTCTACAGAATTCATATGCAGCCTTTTAATTACACTGACAGGCAAAAAATTCCACCCATTTGTCCACACCATTAAGGAACCACGTTGGAAAGGTTGGCTCTGGGAAAAATTACAGGCTGCATATCTTTCGTTTCTTCTTCTCCACACCCTTTCACGCCCGTCTGGAGATTGAAGAGCGAATCTTGCTCACCTGTAAAAAGTACAGCACTCCATTTGTCCATAGTCCAATGGCTGTGTTCTCGAGCAAAAGCCAGCCGTGTTACTCTGTGAGTTCTGGTCAACTCTGGTACTCTTTCTGGACGAAAAGCCATTAATCCATACTCATATGAAACTCCGATGGCATTAGCTGCATATCTAATGGAACGTCCATAATCAATAAGTGCCACACCACGCGCAACATCCTCAGCACTAAGAGGCATTTTTAAACTTAATATTGAAAAAATTAAAAGCCGGAGACTAAGAAATGTGCTGCAAGAAACGGCACTGAACTAATGATACTGAATAAACATTTTGATTCCATAGAAAGTAAACATTGGAATCTAGAATCATTTCATTGAATTAATGATTAAGGGGTATTGTCCTCTATATTAACATTCCTAATTGAAAACAAACAAAAATATTACCTATTTATTCATTAAAAGCAATAGACCAATCCAAAGCAGAAATATTTTTAGATGAAAACTGAAAAAATCAAGTGGGTGGAATTTGTTGCCTGTCAGTGTATGTACAATGGTCATTTGGATATGGAATAACACATTTATTTTTACGAAATGAATTTCTGTTCAGACCATGGATTTATGACTTAAAATCATTTACATAGATTGGAATGCTTATCACTTCCTTGGTTTAGAATATTAGTACATGTATCCATAAATTATGGTTCCGCCGCAACCTGTAGGATAAACATACTCAGAAAATAGTTTTTCATTTAAACATGTTAATACTAATTAATTATTTTTGAAGCTAGAACAAATTGTATCCATTTGATTGGGTAGTTTGAAATGGGCGGAAGATAACTTGAATTCATTATTATGAGTCATATACAATGAAACGTGTTATTCAAAAATGTAAAATAATATGAGTGTACAAATTAAAGCTGGTGATAAAGAATTAATTCAATTGAGAAAAACTACATTTCATTAAACAATTGCTGAATGTGTCATTATCTCAAATTAACCACACCTTAGTCATGAATATTTTCAGTTTGATAGGATCATTGAATGTTCAAGCACTTACAATTTTATAAATTTTAGTTACAAATATTGCATTTCCTTATATTTTAGATTAAAATAACTAATTCTTAACAGTTTAGTATAAATGTCACTCGTTCCTTAGACATCAACACTGTCAGATTTTACTATTAATATAGTGATGGTTCTAGTGCAGTGAATGTAAACAAGTAGTATGATCGTAGTTGTTGCCGGCAATTTAAAAAAATATTTGAGGTTTCCTCCTCAAATATCTCAAGATGTTGTTTTACTATGTTCTGTTAAGTGTATAAATTCATACTTTTCTACGATATAAAAGTATGAATAAACGTTACCCCGCGTACTTTACCTTAAAACAAAAACATTTGTGTTCAAAAGTGTTGTAATTAGGAGATGTTTCTCGTGATTGCTATATTTTTATATTTTCAACCATATGCTTTAATTTGCCAAGTTTTAGGCAGCGAAATAAAAGGTAATTTCATTTTAATTCCTTGAAATAATTAAATGTTCACATAGGTTATTTTATTTTCCAAATTAATCTTTCATTTTCCATTTAATTCTCTTTTGAATCAAACATTTAATATATATACCGGTTTCTTATTTACACCTGTATACATGCTATGATCTAGAGTAAATTTTTTAATGTTTTCCCTAGATAAGAAATTAAGTCAGTTTTCATCTTTTAACATTCCATGATAAATGATGTTTCATTAGGTCTAATAATATGCTATAGTAAAACCAAATATCCTTTTTTGTTTTTAATCACAGTGTTTACTTACATTTGTGCATACAAGCTTAAATAATTTTTTGCACATGATATCAAATTTATTCATACAAACAAAAATATGATATCTGTTATTCATTATATTCTAATGATTGTGTATGAATGCCATTCCTTTTCTTTTTTTTAAAGAGTTTAGAGTTATTTAATAGTGTTTGTTAGTTTTAGAACATCCGTATACACCATAATATTATTTGTATTTATCATTTGGTGATGTACTTCTGATATTGTAAAATACCCCTTTCTGATAAAATAGGTATCTATGTTATGTAATTTTTTAAACAGTTTTTGATTTGAATTTCTGATTTCTTTACTTTTTTAAATATAGCTAAGTAGTTCCAATCATTTCTTTCATTTTGAAATTGTTTTCTGTTACCCTAATTGAGATTGAAGTTTGTAATGTACCTTAAAATAAGTTTAGTCAGATAAATAATTCAGTTAATATTCTGAACACAGAATCATGCTGCGGGTTTCCCAATTCATCACTAAGCTTATTCTTTAAGTATTACTTTGCTTATTATTTAATACTTTATGCATTAAAAATGAACTCTTTTGGTTGAAGAAGAACTTTTGATAAGTTAATTTTATGAAATAAGGAAGAATTTAATACTATTGCTGGCGCATATTGTGATTTTATTAAATTTAATTTAGCATTATTTATCTGTATAAACAACTAAAATATCTATTATCACAATTTGTTATATTCAATCCAGTTCTTCAAGTTTTTGTATGTATGTGTATTTAAGCATAGAGACTAAATATGGCTGTATTTCATTAGATTTATTTTCACAGTGATATCTATTTATGCAACAAGCGTTTTTTAACTGTAAATTTGGTATTGTAGAGTTCCCATGAAAATTCACAGATGATCTAACTCTCCATCTCAAGAACAATATCAAATACTTAACACTTTCTGCAAGTATATTAGTGTTCCTTAGGTGGTAATTAGATTTCAAGGGAATCCTCAGGATTGTGGTAAGCGTTAATCTGCTTCGAAGGGCAAATATTGACTTGAAAATTTTGGTAATTACAGAAAAAATTCAAAAATCCTCTATAAAAAATTAAACAAATCTAAAAATAAATATTGAATTTAAGATCTCCTAAGATAAAACTTTTTGGGAGGGGAAGACTCCAAATTTTTAGCACCTATGAGCCCTATTTCTTCGATTTTCACTGATGATCATTAATGCCTTATATGGTATTTAAGCGCTGAATGACCATGATGGTCAAGCGAGTTAGAGGTTTGCCTGCTTTAACATTCTCGATTCTAACAGCGCCAGGGTTTGAATCCGGCCTAAGCTGGTCGAAATTTTGTTTGGCGGACTCAGAGAGTGAATCTGTGAAAATCAAACAAGAATAGTTTTGGTTGTAATTAATCCCTCCTACCCTCATATACCGCAAATGGCGAACTAGTTTGGTAAATATAAACAGTTTAACAAGCTGCTGATATGTAACATAAAACTTAATGTTGGTTCCTTGTAAAATTTAATTTTTAATGAAGTTGATTTAAATAAACTGAATTTAAAAATTAAAAAAAAAAATGAACAAATAAAAGTAAGGCGAAAAACATTTTAATTTAATATTTTTGAAAATGTGTTTCAACAAAGATATATTTAATATTATAATATTCATTTTTGTATTATTTAAATAATTCTGAATTTGTTACAGTTTCAAATAAACCTGCTAACTTAACAATAGGAAATGTCACTAATACAACAATTGCCCTAAGCTGGAATAGACCAGAAAGACCTTCTGGTGAAATACTTGGCTATCAACTTTTTTATGCATATGAAAGTAATCCTGCTTCCAAATCTGTGAATGTAACATATGCCAAAGTGCATTATACTCTTTCAAATCTAAGTAAGTTTATTAATATTCAGTTATATGTATTATTTTATTTTAAAATAAATTTATATTTTAAATCTCTGATTATGTTATAACTGTTTATTGTTTGAATGAATTTATTTAATCTTATTTATTAAGAATTTAAATATACACTGCAATCATATTAATAATTATAAATTATTAACTATTTTAATTTTAAAAAATTTCAGAGCCATTTACTGAATATAAAATTTGGGTTGAAAGTTCCGTAATGGGTGATGGAGATAATGATAGTGATAGCTCCGAAGCTTTAAAACAATTTACTGATGTTAGTGGACCTGGGCCTCCGAGGATAACAAATGTCACTTGTCTCCATAGTGCTTTTTTTATTCAGTGGCAAAGACCAATAGAGTTTTTTAACACAATTGATTTGTATACAATTTACTATAAAAGCACAAATAATGATAAATACAATGAAATTAAAGTTAATTCTAATTCCTCCAGTGATGTTTTAAATCAGGTATTTATAAAACTGTTAAAGTATTTTTATAGTTTGTTTTTTGCTTTAATTAACATTACTAATGAATATATATTAAATAAACCAATTCTTGTTACGTTTTCAACTAAATAGGATGTTGTTTTAGATTGTAGATAACCTAACTGACAACACAGAATATGAGATAAGAGTTAGTGGTGCATCTCGCAGTGTTTTAAAACCTAATAAATTTATGGAAGGAGTTTGTTCTGAACCAAAAAGGATAAAAATTAAGTCTGATTGTGATCAACCTGATTTGTTTGAAGGAACTAACAAATATCTGAATGTTGTGTTAATAATTGTTATTGTTTTTGCTTCGTTTGCACTTTTTCTTACAATATGTGTTGTAGCAATATGGAGGTGAGTGCAGATTATATTAATTTTAATTGTTTTTAGTTAAACTGATAGAGCCAATGTATCATGTGATTATATTCAATAGAAATTTATTATGTGTCCCTTAATTAGTAATTGGAGTTATTACCATACCATATAAATGATCTATATTCAGTATTTATTTTTAATAATTAAACTTATTTCCTACTTTGATGCGATTTTTACTTGACTGGCTATAGGGACCCTTTTTTATGTTTTAATTGTTTTCTTTATTTTTTTGTCCTTCCTCTACTCCACTTATTCATATTTACTCTACATCTCAATTTGGAACAACCTCATCCTTCAAAAAATGAGTACACAATGAGCAAGTTGTTTGAAAAAACTGACAAGAATTGACTTACAGGTGAACAATGTTAGCATTATACTGTCATCAAAGGGTTAAAGGAGAAAGAATGATTAGGATACATCATGCGTTCACAATAGCTTGTTATTAGAAAAATACTGTAGTTCCATTGTCGGAGCATTTTCTATTGTTAGTTTTTATATTTGATATAGTTGTTTTATTTCTATATTTGTAATATGTATTTAACACCTAAAGGCATAAAAAATAATGGTAAAATTATTCCTGTTATCAATTACAAAAGATTTTGATCACTTATTTGAGCATGATCAATTCTAATTCCCAATCATCCCAGGATTCCAACCTAAGATGTAAAGAGTGACTATAGAGCTAATCACTGATTAAAATCTGTTTCAGGCAGGGTTAAGACCAACTTTTAATTTAGGGACCACATTAAAATAGAATAGCTATCAAATTGCATATATCAAGTCCTAAGCTCAGTTAAATTTCAAATCGGCATATAGAATAAATATGACTTTATAAATTCATACAGATTAACAAGTGGAATTGTATACTTAATTACAATCTTTTATTAAAAAAAATTATTTGCTAGGTATTTTTGCAACAAACGTGCCGGATGCTCAGTGGAGATGGGTGGGTTTGCAAAAAAAAAAAATAATGCTGGATCAATCAAATATTAATAACTATCTAACAGACGCCACACTGTTTAAGTTGTTGATCTTTGGATAATAGAATAAAACCATAACTTAGATCAAATAAAATAAATATATTGAATTAAAAAAAAAAGAAGAGAGCAGAGTGAGCTTGAACTTATGGATTTAAAAACACCCCTTATCAGTCATAGAACCTTCTTACTTTGTTGTAATTGATTTTTCGTGATCCCTCGAATAGGGTTTTACAATTACTTATTAAATCTTAACAAAAGAGAATAATAAATAACTAAAACCTGAAAACAAAAATCCACAAAAAAAAAACAAAAAAAAAAAAAACTATATTATTAATACTGCTAGTGAATTTCATAATTTCAATATTTATTAAAAATAGAAAGAATATTATTAACATAAAATTAGATTTGGAAGATAACAAAAAAAAAAGATATAAACTTTAATTATCAAAGTAAAGAACATTACAAAGAATAGTACAAAACTAAATATTAACCTACAATTATAATATACAGTATACTAATTAATCATTTTTTAAAATAAATATGGATAGTAAAAGTAAACTTAAATATACATATTTACAAAATCTCAATGGTAAACTTTATCCAATTTACACATAGAGTCATCTGAGGGAGCGAGAACCTGCATCTTGGGTTTCCACTTCTTAAAGTTTTGAAAAATGTTTATTCACCAATTTGTAAAATCAGGTGGCACTCATCGCTGATAATCACAGGTTTTAGGTGGGAGAAAAGAAAATCCGGCGTACGCCGTTAAACTTCAGTCTTTAACCACCAAAAAAAAAACACTACTTCCTACCACAATTATATAACCTTCCTCTCCACTCAGGTTATGCTATCTGGCTCATACTATCAGTTATTTTTTTCCCCCACAGTGATTAAATTACTAATGAATTAGTGAATCATGGTGATTAGAGACAGTGATATTTGATCAATTAACAATTTGTTCATCGGTGAGTAATCGCATGTTTATCAAGTTTATTGAACAATCTTATCAACAGTAGATATAGCTGGACAGGTTATCTACCATATTGTTATCTATCCCCCACTCAGCCGGCAGCCAGTAGTTGGCTGACTGGTGAGATGGGTGCACTTCACTCAGCGTTCCACCGGTCTAAGTAATTTTTTATGCATCAGACTATTTTATTTTTTCAGTCAGATCTTTATAAATGCGTTATTACATATGATAATGTCAAGCAACATTAAAAGATTGCGAAGCTTAGGTAATAATAGCTCTCAATACTCACCTGTAAAACAATGGCCAAGGCGTTCCAATAGAAAAACACCTCCAACACCTGACAGACCAACTGAAATCAACAATGATCCGCAGCCTGGTTGTTCAACCCAAACAACAGATGAATCTCCATTTTTTACCCCCAACCCATACCAGCTACTATCGTCAGAAGAAACAATGGGAACAGCATTGGCTCCCAGAGAGCCAAAACCACCTCCAATATTTGTCAGAAATATTAAAATTTTACAATTATTCTGCCAGCACCTTAATATAATAATTGAAAATGGTAGATATGTATGCCATAGTAGAACCAATAACACCAAACTAATGCTGGATTCTCCGGAAACATCAGAATTGAAGGCTGAATTTCAGACGTACTAGCTATACGAAGAGAGAGCACTAAGAGTAATGGTACGAGGCCTCCACCCTTCAACTTCAACCATTGAAATCAAAGGAGATTGATTCCTAATTGATGGCTTTAGGTTTCAATGTCTGCCAAATTGTTAACATAAAGAAAATAAAGAGCACCAAGTAAAAGTAACAAAATAGCACTACTATTTTTTGTAGACCTGGAACGCACTCCAGGGGTCGAAAACATTTATAAACTAACCCGTATGTACTATACTAGTATAGTGGTTGAAAAGCTATACACAAAAAGTGGAATAGTACAATACCATAATTGTCAATCTTATGGCCACACTAGAAGCTACTGCCATCGCTTACGTCGATGTGTGAAGTTCGGACAGCAACTGAGGAATGCACCAAATCTAGGCGAATTCCAGCTGTATGCGCACTATGCCATCTAAGTCACCAGGCAAACCACAAGGGTTGCCAAACTTGAAATCAAGAACACAAGCAGCACTTAGACAGGAAAAGACCTCCAGGACTTCCAGACCACCAAGGTAACCGACACGACATGTGAACAACGAAGTCATCTATGCCGAAATGCTAGGAAAGATAGAACAGACCAATCAATCTCAGGCTCTGCCACAAACTCATGATCCACCACCCCAATATAAGAATACCCATAAGTCCAGTCCTCACCAAATCTCCTACATTCCTCCTCCTAGCAATTCCTATGACCTTACCACCCTCCTTACATCATTTCTCTCCAAGATGAAATCTTTCATCACCCCGTTCACTTCTACTTATAAATGTCATAGCTAATCTTATCCCACCGCCAAGAATTACTTAAATGTCTTCAACAAAACCCCTTTCCATTCTCCTCTAGAATGCGAATGGTTTTCGAAACCACATAAGTAAACTAACTTTTTTTCTACAGGACAACAACATTGACGTAGCCCTAATAACTAAGACCCTACTAACTAACAAACGACAGTTCAACATACTTAGTTGCATGATTTACCGAACTGACCACCTTGATAGAACTGCACATGGAGGCACTGCCATCATCCACCAATCCCTCTCCCATTGCTTTTATCCTTTATCAACACATAATTTCCTACAAACCACAGCAATAGCAATCCAAACCTCACTTTTTCCTATCACAGTTGTCCCAGCATACTCTCCTAAAATAACAGTACCTCAATCTAATTTCATTTCCTTTCTTAATTCCTTAGGACACCATTTCCTTATAGGTGTAGACCCTAATGCTAAACACCAGCAATGCGGAGCCAGAACCATGAATTCCCGCAGCCGAACATTGCTGTGTGCACTTAATTCTCACAATAGCGACATCCTTTCCCCTGATATTCCTACATACTGGCCAACCGATCCTAACTGTAATCCTGACCTCCTTGACTTCTTCATTCACAAAGGTCTAGGGCCATAATTTATCTGAGGCTCGGTGACTTTTCCTCAGACCGCAGTCTGCTAAGCCTAACTCTCCGCATTTCCTATCTTCAGATTATCCCTTCCTTCATTCATCAGAGGCTCAGTCAACTGGAATCTTTTCCACCAAACAATAATAGATGCAATAGACTTCAGAGTTTCCTTAAAAACCCTTCAAGACCTAGATAATACAGTGAGACCATTCACCACCATGATCCAAAAAGCAGTCTGGACTGCATCCTCAACACTCCCCTCCAAAAAAAACTCCAAGAAAATTCCTTAGTTCGTTCTCAACTTTTTAAATTTTTTAGTGTTCCATTGTGTTCGATTGGTTCTGCTCTTGGCACATTTGCTATTTTTTGCCTTAACTTAGCTCTAATCAAAAAGTGGTCTGAATCGCAGTTAGGGCCTCTCACGTCTATGATGTTTGACAATTGTCTTGTTTATATCAGGATGTGATCTATTTGATACACATCTCTTCCAGATGCCCTCCTAGTACCTCAAGTGGAGTTTAGAATGGACAAAAAAATAATAAAGAAAATTAAAACGTAGAAAAGGGTCACTATAGCCTGTAAAAAGATGGGTGAACAAATTAAGGTTACTGATAAGCAATAAGCAATATCTAGAAAAATTAGCAAAACCAGAGAAAAATCTATGAGAGTTCTCAGAAAAACTAAGCAATATAGGCCAAATGTCAGGCAGTTTATTTTTATAAAGGAGAGGCATTATCAGGCCCAATGTATTATATATCCTGAAAATATTTATGTTTTATATTTGCTCTTGTAATTTATATAATTTCCTATTAATTTTAAGTATTTACAATTAAAAGTTTGCTATTTGTACATGTTAAAAAATTATTTTATTTTCAGGCACTGTTTTCATGCTGCATATTATTATCTTGAAGAAAGTAGGCAGGTTGTTACAGCACCTGCTTTCGATTGGGATGCAAGAAATGAACAATATCCCCCAATATCAGTTAAAGATTTTGCTAGACATGTTGCTTCATTGCATGCTGATGGGGATATAGGGTTTAGTAAAGAATATGATTCCATCCAGTGTGCATCACTTCATGATCAGTTTTCTTCTGATGTTTCTACTCACCCTGAAAATAAGCTGAAAAATAGATATTTAAATATTTTAGCATGTGAGTATAGATTGGTGTTCCTCTACTTTTGTCTTTAAGTGCGGAAAATAATAATAATAATAAATATTTGAACAGATGACCATAGCCGTGTGAGGCTTATGGCTGGACCTAGCCAAAATCGTTGGGTTGATTACATCAATGCTAATTATATAGATGGCTTTGAAAAAATCAATGCTTATATTGGCACACAGGGTCCGTTGCCCAATACATTTGATTGTTTTTGGAGAATGATTTGGGAACAAGGAGTATCTGTAATAGTTATGATCACAAATCTAGTTGAACGGGGTAGGGTATGTATCCAAATATCATTTCACTCACAAATCAGATTTTGGTTTCTTAATGTGTTGTCATTTTATTTGGGATAGACATGCATGTGTTGACTAAACTGTAAAGTTATGTTTTATTTCATTCTGTAGTGGCATTTAGTTGGCTTTCGACATGATTCAAGTATAACACGCATGATGATTGTTACTTTATAAACATACTTATGGTTCATTTAATGCATTCTAGCAAACTTAGGTGCTTCTTCTTGCTCAATAATTTCGTCATCTTTCTGTTAGATAAATTAAAATAATCCAATTCTTGTTCATGGATTTCTTATTAATTTTCAGTGGAAATTAGTAACAGCCTGTACGTATTTAAGTGGATTGTTTACTTTATAAACATACTTATGGTTCATTTAATGCATTCTAGCAAACATAGGTGCTTCTTCTTGCTCAATAATTTTGTCATCTTTCTGTTAGATAAATGAGAATAATCCAGTTCTTGTTCATGCATTTCTTATTAATTTTCAGTTGAAATTAGTAACAGCCTTTACGTATTGAAGTGGATTGTTTGCTGGTTCAATAGTTGTTTAATTTGTTCTTCATCATTTGAAATTTAATTGTTGAAGCAATTAGTTTCATTTTCTGAAGTTTCATCATTATAATTTGAAAGTCATAAGGAAACTATCTATTTTCTATGCCATATATAGTCTTAGTTTAGCATGATTCTTTATTGAAAGACTTTGTTTTATTCAAATCTTTATAGCCTATTATGTAAATTACTAGTTTTGGGATAAACATGATATTCCTTTATTGTTTTCTGTTTATTTTATTTGTTTTTGTTAAATATTTTGGCTGTATCTTTCAATATTGATTATTTTGCTTACAATGCTTCTTAATGCTTCAGAGTATCAAATGTTAATAAACTTTCTTATTTTATTATATTTATTTATACTGTATATTAAATTTTTCATATTTTATATTATTTTCTTTCTTTCTCTTCTAATTGCCATCAAGTAATATTAGTCAAGAAAATATGTCAAATTTTAATATTCATATTCATTTTATATTCTATATAACATTATATGTATTTATTGATCTTTACTTTCACTTTTAATCTTCTATTATCAGTTATATATAATCTAAATTATGTATGCATTTAATTCAAAACATAAAACTATTGGTTATGGCTATCTTAATTTCTACATTTTATAATTATCCGTTGATGCGGGTTGGTATGTTTTTATGTGATAAAAATTAGGCTGTCTGTTTCCATTAGATGCTTAGAAAAATGAAGCCATAAAAGGGTTTGTGACTGGGAATATAGGGTTATGAATGGGAAGATTATTTTGGGGTTACATATATACCCTTTTAAATTTTGTTACAAAGTTAATATTTAAATTTCTTCCTCAAATGTGGGACAGACTCACTAGGTGGTCCACAGTTGGAACAGTCCAACTCTCCTGCCTAGACTTTTGGGTCTCCAACTTGTCTCAGAGAGCCTATTTGCCAATAGATCTGCACTTACGCTGTCACTTCATCTTCCATGGATTCTCGCTCTTGCCATACGACAAGTGTACAGCTTCTTGGATATTCTATCATTGTCTATCGTGACCAAATGACCTTCACTCACTCATAAACTGGCACTACAGTCCATATAGGACCTTGGCCTCCATCAACAGCTTGCTCTATTCAGCTCTGTACATGGCATTTCTTCTCCTGTGGTGTACACCTAAAGTTTTTAGATCTGCCTAGACATCATCCAAACATCGCAGGCAAGGCTAACTTTCGTCCACCACCTGCTTCCCGTTGAGCAGTTTTTTCGGAATTTTACCAGAGTACATTCTCTCTATATGTCCCAACCACCTTAATTGGCCCTGTTGGATATACGAGACAGTTTATCCCTCTCTTATCAAATCCTCCAGCTCCTTATTTGTTTTCACTGCACCGAATATTTGACGAAGGACTTTTCTTTCCCAGACTTTCAGAACTCTCTTATTTTCTGCTGTTAAGACCCATGATTCGCTTCTATAGGTGATAGTCGGCCTACTATTGTCTTATAGATTAATATTTGTCCCTTTCTTGAGAGGTTCTTGAACTTAAGGGCCTTCTGCAAACTTTATAGGAAGCGGTTCCCAGCAGGGATTCTGGCTTTTATCTCGGCTTCTGTCAAATTATCGATGGTTATCTAGCTACCAAGATATTTGAATTGTGGACAACATTGTATTTTGTATTCACCCAGTTGAATTGTCAGTTGTTCACCATACTTTGTTGCCATCTGCATATATATTGTCTTCTGGACACTAATCTCAAGTCCAAGTTCCCTTGCAGCTCCCTGGATCTCTTATAATGCACCTGGTAAAGCTTGAAGTGTTCTCGCTGAGATTATCATCCTCAAAATCCAGATGTTCTGTAAAAAATAGTACCATCTGGATACGTAAGGAGTTACAAAAAGAGGTAGCATGAATGACGAAGGATTTGCATATGGTTTTATTATTATTTATTATTATTATTATTTGTTATTATGGTTGCATATGGTTTTATGGGAAGGAATATATAGATCTATAGGTTGAGATCTAGTATTAAGAGAGTGGATAGAGGAACGTAGAGTAAGGAGTTCTAGAATGTAGGAAGGATTTTTGATTCTGAGGATAAATCTTTTGAAGCAATTTATAAGTCTCTTCAGTCTCTCATCCAGTCCTCCATACACCAAGCAACCATAGTCAAAGTGAGAGAAAACAAGAGATGTTACAATTACAAGTAGCTATCTGGATTTTTCTGGAATAGAATCATGGAATTGTTATGGATTTATGGGTAATCTGGGAAATGTGGTTATTCCAAGAGAGGTTCTGATCAAAGAATACTCCAAGATTTTTAACTATCAAAAAGAAATGGATTTGATGCTTATTGAGGTAAAGTAAAGGAGAGAAAGGAAGGGAACTAATGAGATGCCTAGAACCGATGAGGATAGCCTTTGATTTATCTGCATTCAGCTTCAGTTTTTTGCCCTCCTTTATGTACAGTTAATATCCTTTTGCAATTTTCGGGTAGCCTCAGGCATCTTAGAAGGTTGGAACGATAGGTAAATTTGGAAATCGTTTGCATATAAGTGATAGTGGGAGTGATGAATGGAGTCAGGAAGGTCGTTAATATAAATGGAGAAAAGGAGAGAGTGTGATGAATGGAGTCAGGAAGGTCGTTAATATAAATGGAGAAAAGGAGAGAGTGAGAAGCCCTGAGGAACAGCTTGTGATATTGAAGAGACGAAAAAGGAGGTTTGTTAGGAATAAAAACTTTTTGGGAGCGATGGGATAAAAAGGAGAGGAACCATTTTAGAATGTTATTCGATATGAACAGGCTTTGACAGATTCAAAGGCTTTTGTGAAGTCAAAAAGGATGGATGGAGATTTTCTGTTGATCTATGAATAACTGAAGGTCTTGGGTAATCTTTAACAAGGCAGATTGTGTGGAGTATTGGGGACGAAATCTGGATTGTAACGAATTGAGGAGACGGTTTTGCTCCAGAAAGTTAGGAGTATAGAAAGTAAGATAGGAAGGCAAAGTTTGATGATTTTCACAGGTATTTGGTCAGCATGTATACCATCCCCTCTTGGTGGTTTATTATTTCTGAGGTCCAAGATAATCTCAATTATCTCCTCTATTTCAGGTGGAATATCTTCTTCTTCCAGTTCCTCCTCTTAAATGGTTCCTTGAGCCTATCAAGTGGTGGGGATTTTCTTTTACTCCTAATACTTCCTAAAAGTATCTCTGCCTCCTACCTTGAACGTCCTCATTACCATGAAGTAGATTACCCTATTCATCCCTTACGGAGTCGGATTTTGGAGTAAATCTATTTTGAAACTTTTACACCTTAATTTCCTTGTCTCTTTGGTCTTCTAATGGTCCTCCAGTTTTCCGAACCTCCCATTCTCCTTTGTTATTTTCTTTCTTATGCAAAGTTTCTTAGCCTCCTTCTTCTTTTGAAGGTAAAGGTCAGTGGTTTGCCTTCTCGTTCTCTGAAGGTTTCGAAGTCTTGCTTGATTTATCTCTTGGAATGCTCTTTGGTATTCATCGTCAAACCAGTCTTCTTTAGGAAATTTTGGTCACTGTCTCAAGATCTCTTCAGCCACTTTGCCAAGAATTATCTTTAAGGATTCCCAGCACTTTTCTGTAGAGAAGCCCTGCTGGGTTGTTGTTATTTTAGCCCTATTTTGAAATTTATGTTGTATCGTTTCGTCTTTTAATTTTAACATATCATACGCAACTAGTGGTGGCTCGCCCTGTCCTACTCTTCTTCTAGCAAGCTTCTGTCTGTACTTAGCTATCATAAGGATGTGGTTTGCTATCAGCAGCAGCTCCTCTAAAACTCTGTACGTTCAAAATATGAGAGGCATGTCTCGAATCTATCAGTACATGATCAAATTGGTCCCTCCTCAAGTTGTCAGGAGATACCCATGTTTCCTTATGGGATTCTTTATATTTGAATTAGGTGCTCAAAATTCTAAGTTCTTTTCTTCTGTGAAACTCACTATTCGGATACCATTGTCATTGCATTGATCATGCTTGCTTTGTGTACCAATGGTAGGTCTAAAAGCTGGCTCTTTTCCTATTTTAGCATTTAAGTCTGCAATTATAATCTTAGTATCATACCTAGGGAGAGCTAGATATACCCTTTCCAGGTCTCATAAAAATCATCCTTTACCTTATCTTTTCCTTTGTCGGCACATGTTCACTTATTGCACTGATATTATTATGAACTTTCCTTTAAGTCTTATTTGACAGATGCATTTATTTATACACTGGTAATCCATCCGTGTGTGCTTTAGGCTCTTTTTTATCATAAAGCCTGTTCCAAACCTCGATCACCTCCACATGCCTCCACCTGATAACTTGCATAGCTACAATGTCTACCTTGGTATTATGTCATATGTTGTCTATTCAGAGCCCCTCTATCAATTACTATTTCATGACCAGATGACCCAGCCATCTCAAATTTTTATTTTTAGTCTGAAACTCTCAGATCTTCATAGATTATTACATTTTTATTCAACCTAAGTTTGGTGGTGCTACTGATCAGTCTTTAAGAATGCAAGAGATTCCTTAGATTTTGGTTTAAAAATGTATTTACATGTTCACATTTTTTTTTCTTCTTTTCTTAAAATGACTATGTCTCTAGCTCTTGGTAACTAAAAATAGTATGTATACTTCATATTTTATTGCAGATATTTTTAAAGGCTCTCTTTACTACTTATTTGTAGATAATGGAAATTACTACATGTATTGTTCTTTATAATCGCCATCTGTCTTTATTAACCTGTCTTCGAACTATATCGTTTTGTAGGTTTTTTTCTGATTTCTACCAAACTTCTTTTCTTTACTTTATTGTATTTGTGACATGCATTATTCTTTACTCATTGCATGGATTTTTTTTCATTTTATTTTATGATTTAAAACGGAAATCTACTTTATTTTTTTATTAACTCGACAAATAGTGTAAAAAAAAACGTTTCTAAAGTAATGTTCTATTTGTCCTTGCTGATGTATTTCTTAGGTAAAGATTTATTTTATTTTTACTTGATTCTTCAAATAATGCATACCATGCATGCATGAAAGTAGTGCATTACCTTGTTAGTTCATTATTATTATTATTATTATTACCATATTAATTCATAAAAATTATTTTATCAATGCATGGAATAAAATAAATGTTCTTCGTAAGTTCTCTTACTTTAATTGATGTAAGAATTCCTTATTTCATTGAAAACACGTTATTATAGATCGAAGCCAAGGTTACTGTAATATCTGAAACTCAATGAAAGGTAAGTGGTGGAGTGCAAGACAAACCAGTACATCAGTTTCCAGCTAATTATTTTTTTACTTTTTTTTCTAGAACTATTTTTTAAGCTAGTAATGATCTTGATTGGATTCCTAGTTATTATGTTAGTTTTTTACTATTTTATATCAATAAAGTTTATGAACAAACTAGTATATTTTTTCAAAATAATTAATTTTATTAGAACTATCAGGTCATCTCTTAAGTAAAGTTAGTTTTTAAAAATCTGTGTTTATATTGATATTACTAATCCCTCCTTTACAATTGAATTGTGTTTACATATTTTGTTTATTATAGCATTACATTCTTCTATTTATCATGATTTTGTTGGAGAAAGTTAGTTGTTCTGTGCTAAAATTTCAATTAAAATGGATCTTCTCTAAAACCACTTATGCCATGTTATGCTTTGGGAATTTGATGAAGAGGGAAAACCATTTTCTCCTTTATTAAATTCCTAAAGCATAACATGACCTGATCTGATATAATTATTTAGATTGGAAGGTAGGTTATATATTGCAAAAATATTGTTCAGTGGAGATTGACCTTATTGCATTTGTTCGTACTGAATTAGTTCAATCCACAAGTATTGTTGAGTGAAATTTGAGATTATACAGGTTGGTTCGTAATTGCACGGCACTATTTTAGGTATGTGTTCACTAACACAAAATAAACAAAAAAGTTCATATTAGCATTTATCTCAAACTCATTTATTAAACAGATATCAAAGGTTAAAGATTTATTATTTACTTACTACATTAAGACTGACTGTACAAAGTTTAACGTGTTTAATACTAAATAACAGGTTTTAATCACCTGATAAACAAATGACAGTAGTTGCTCATCTGTAATTCTGTGTGTTTTAGTGTGAGTGAATACTGTGACACAGTTCAATTTATGATTATCATGGGAGACACCATAAATTTATTCACTTTTGCAAAACAAACAGACATGCTTTTAACTTATGCCGGGGTGAATAGAAACGGTGCTGCTGCTATTCGAAGATATTGTGAAAAATTTCCTAACCTAAGAATACCAAATCGTAAAACATTTGAGGCCATTGAAAGATGTCTTAGGGATAATGGCACTCTAAAACCTATACAAATAAATGCTGGTCGACAAAGATTTTGACGAACTGCAAACGTTGAAGAAGAAATACTCGATGCTGTTCAATTATCTCCTACTACCAGTACCAGAAGATTGTCACATCATGTCGATGTTTCCTCTACCAGCGTATGGCGAACTTTATGTGTACAACAATTGTATCCATTTCACATATCGAATAGGCAAGATTTGTTATCACAAGATTATAACAAGTTCAGAAATTTCTCCTAGTGGTTAATTCGACAATGCACACGAGATCCTAACTTCCTGAACTGCAATTTTGGTTACTGATGAATCTTGCTTTACTAGAAACGGGATTCTTAATTTTCAAAATACTCATACGACTGCTGTTGGACATTAACAACATACCTTTTCTGGTGTGGCCTTCTAAGGGACAAAATCATTGGCCACTTCTTTTTGCCACCTAGGCTGTCAGGTATAAAAAAACCTGCATTTTTTGCAAAATAATCTTCATGAACTCCTAGAAGATATTCCTCTAGGCATTAGGCAAAGGCTGTGGTTTATGCATGACGGTGCTCCAGTTGACTTTTCTAATAGTGTCACTGATTATTTAAATGCAACTTATGGAGACCAATGGGTTAGACAAAATGGATCTATTAAATGGCCATCACGATCTCCGGATTTAATGCCATTAGATTATTTTGTGTGGGGCTGGATGCTGTCTATCGTTTATTCTATGGCAGTTGGCTGCATGCTAAGAAATGCTAGAAATTGGATCGTGGAAGCCGCAGTAACTATTAAACACCATCCTGATGCTATACGAAGAGTGATCTTCAGGAAGCATGGATTCGTCATGCTGAATGTTGCATTCAACAAAACAGAGTCCTCTTTATTCTAAATGTTGTGATAATAATAAATCATTAACCTTTGATATCTGTTTAATAAATGAGTTTGATATATATGTTAATATGAACTTTTTGGTTTATTTTGTGTTAGTGAACACATACCTAAAATAGTGCTGTGCAATTACGAAATACCCTGTAGATTTTTTTTTAAAGGCTGGCTGTCTCATAATTTTTGTTCGTGTATAAATAATATATTTAATACCTATTTTTTAATATCAAGTGTTTAACATATTTTGTTATAATAGATAAGAAAAATTAAATTCTCAGAAAATATACATTATCAGTAACCCAGTGAAATATGACAGGACTCATAAAAATAAAATGAGTATTTCTTGAAAATATTGATAGTTTACTGTATAGTAAATGTATCTTGGTGGCGATCATGATTAATATAAAATGGTGGGAATTAAGTTTGGTATTATTTTAGTTCCCACTATTTTATGCTGAACGTCTACCAGACCTGGAAAATTCACAATTTTATGAACTAGGGATAAATAAAGAAATAGGTTGCATTGTTATGGTGAAAGAACCAATTCCCTGTTTCCTGAAGATCCACCTTTTTCTTCTTAATATTCACTCTTAATCTCTTTTTAGCCCTTCATGAACAGGGGTATATATATATATATATATATATATATATATATATATATATATATATATATATATATCGATTAATACACCAATTCTTTGACATATATATATATATATATATATATATATATATATATATATATATATGTCAAAGAATTGGTGTGTTAATCGATATTGTTTTTCATGATAAACAAAATTAATATCTTTACTATAAAAGGTTATTTTGGCTCTGTAAAATAAGCTGAAAGTCAGTACTATTGATAATGTTTCTATTCTTTTTAGTTTCAAAGAGACTGTTTTAAGTTTTATTAGATATTTTTGTATTTACATATCATTCAAATTTATGATTGTTTTTATAAAGCCTCTAGTATTGAGAATTACAATATTTAATATGTTAGATAGTGTACCAATAACATAAAATAATTAATAATAAAGATCAGTCTATAAAATTTTAGTCAGGAGCCAAATATTTTTGTTTTGTGTTTCATGATAAAATAAAATAAAAAAAGATAACACAGCATAGTATATCTGGTATCTCCATATAAATAATCAGGTTACTTGCAAAACATTATTCACAATTTTATTAGAAATAATCAATGTATTTATATTTATAGTTAGTTTGTTTCTGTCAGATCATTTATGGATGGTAAAAGTTAACTTTTATGTTGTGGATAAGTTTTGTTATAAACAAGTGTTGGGGAATTGTAAAAATGTGAAATTATAAGCTTATCTCTCAAATGACTTAGATTTTGAATATTAATCAAACTTTATAAGTGCTGAGAAGATAGAATTTTTGAACTGTTGCTTATTCATTTAATCATACCATATAACATGACATATTTTGAATTAGAAATTGATGTATTTTTATTTTACTAGAATTATTTGTTAGAGATAAATAGATATTTTTAGGTTATTTAGTCGAATAAATGAGTCATAAATTTATTATATGTTTATATATTTTTTTTACCAGCGGAAATGTGATATGTATTGGCCTAAAGAAGGAACTGAAACTTATGGCCATATTCAGGTGAGATTAATTAAAGAAGATGTTTTGGCTATGTATACTGTCAGAACCATGAAAATTTTACATTTGAAGGTATACTAAACATCATTTCATTTGAACTTATATTGAAAATATTCCATGCTGTTGATTTATCTGAATTTGTGTCTATTTCAGGTTAAAAGAAAAAAGTATTCAACTGGAGAAAGGCTTCTTCATCAATTTCACTATACTAATTGGCATGATCATGGTACACCTGATCATCCTTTGCCTATTCTCAGTTTTGTTAGTAAATCATCAGCTGCAAATGAAGGGAATTCTGGTCCAATTGTGGTTCATTGCAGGTATATAATAGATTATTTGTATATATTTATATTACTAATAATCCCCACATATATTATTACAGTAACGCTCGAAATCGGTTTTGTACCAAATATAAGCTCCTGTCATGCTTAAATACCATGAATGGGGTACTGTTGGATTCAGAATTTCACGGGAGGTTAGCGAATCGTATTCTCCACTTTTTCTTTCTTTCACGTTTTTCTTTCTAAAACAGATAAAGTTGATACAAACATTTTGCTATGCTTCAATACTGGAACGGTGGTAGGTCTGTAGATCGAAACGGGACAAATTGGACGTTGAAGATTTTGATACGTACAGCAAAACCCGGATAGTTCCTTCGGAATGACCAATCATTAATGAAGATTTAAATTAAATTTTGTTTCCTTTATCGATTATATTTATCGATAAAGTAACAATTGATTTCTTTAGCTTTTGATACGTTGTATGGTTTTATTTTCTTATTAATTTGGCATTTGATAACAATATGCTGTGCAAATTTTTCGCACGGGCCTACTAGTAACAATAAAAAGCTTAGCAAACCTGAAAGTTTAATGCTGACATCATCAATCACTTATTACACACCTTCCTCCACTTTTCACCCCCTCCCCAGTCCCTTCAGATCGCCATTAACACAATCTTCCCACCTTCGCTCCAGTCTACCCCGGATGTTTACCATTTGGTTCAGCAATATTAACCTTTTAGGAATTCTTTTGTTACTAAGACCAACAGTTTTACTAGCCCATTTGATTCACCGTGATATAATCACCTCAATTACATTAACCGGATACAGTTCACGCAATACGGCGTTGTGTAACTGTCTGAACTCTCTGGTTAACTCATCCTTCATCAGTCTGAATATTCTTCGTAATACTTTATTTTCAAAAATTTTAAGACGTTGCTCATCCCTAATGTAAGCGACCACAGTTCACATCCATAAAGAACTGTAGGTGAGATAATGGTTTTATATATTCTTGTTTTTAAGTTTCGGGGCTAGAGGCGCTAGCTAAGTAGTTTTGTCACAGAAAAATAACAGGCATTTCCCGCCTTCAGCCTAACCTTAATCTCCTCTTCAATTTTGTTTTTTCTAGTTATCGTAGACCCTAGATTAACTTCTCTACATTTTCAAACATAATACCTCCTATATCGATATCACTAGCAATATTGCCATTTTTATAGCTAACCATATATTTTTCCTTACCCCTGTTTATTTCGAGCCCTTGTTCTTTACCGGCTTTCATTAACCTTTTTGTATTTAGTTTTATAGTTTCCGGGTTTTCGCTTAACAGGACTAGATCATCCGCATATCCAAGCACGGGTGGGTGTTGTCCCACCAAGAAACAACCCTTTTTCAGTATGTGTTACCTCCCTAATGACATGTTTTAATGCCAAATCGAACAGGACAGCACAAAGGGAATCAAAAATATTTGATTAATAGTCGAACGGTTCCGTCTAAATCCGCATTGGTAGGCTCTGATAATTTTCTCGGCGTATTCCGTGATTTAACTGGTTAAGAATAAAGTGATTATTTTATAACATACTGCAAGGAGTGAAATTCCTCGATAGTTATTACTCTCTGTCCTCGGTCCCTTTTTGTGAATCCAGATAAGAATAGATTCTTTCCATTCTTCAGATAATTTCTCATTCCCCTGATCTTTTTAACTTACGAAGGTATTTGAGAAACTCCAGCTTCTTTAGATGCCTTAATTAGTTTACTAGGAATATTATTGATTCCCGCTGCTTTATAAGATTTTAATTTTGCTATATCTGCTTCAACTTCCTCTTTACTTGGTTATTCTATTAACGGTTCAGCACTCTGGTACTCAGAAGGACACAGACTTATATTACTAATGGTCTAAAATTATTAACAGATTAAATTATTAACTTAACTTTTTCAAAATTGATTATACAGTCTAATTGTGTTAGGATGCTCTTGAATTATTCATTTAACTGCTAATGGATTAATGAATTGTGATTTGAATTCATTATTCCGTAAATACTATTCTCTTCCTAACAATAATTGTGAAACTATTAAAATTTTATAATTAAATAATTTTTATTGAAGTGATTAATAGAATATTTACATTATAATTTAAAAAATATTGAGATGAAGCTAACTTTACTTTTTTTGTTGGTTTTCTTTGCTTTTACCACTGAACCTAGATGTTAGTTATAGTTTTTTTTTTTTTTTAAATGTCATTCGTCATTAATTTGTTAAATCCAAATAACATAATTTTAAATGTATTTCTTAGAAATATAAATTATTCAAGAAGCCTAATAGTTTATAGTTGTATAAGATGAAAGTAAATAAAGTAAATAAAATCTGGTGCGTGCATCACACGACTTTCACTTACCACCCTCTTTGCAGAAATAATTATTTTCAGACAAAGGGGAAGTGAAAGTAATTCGTATTGACACTATATTTATTTACAATCCATTGTGGGTATTTTTATTTGTTTAAATACCCTTATATATAAAAATTTTAATTTTTATATCACTGTATTCTATACAATTAAATATTAAATAATACCAACATAACATAATATTCAAGGAATCAGTATTATGTGAAGCTTATGTTACGTATGGAAGCCTGTTGTAATCTTTCGAGCGAGCTCGTGCAAGCTTGTATTTCTTTGATTCCTCAATTACAACTATTATCTATTATGATCTCTTATTTCTCCTTTAGTTAATTATCAAATTCTTTTATATTTTATATTAAACTATTTTTTATATCTAAGATTAATGTGAAATCGTTAATTATTTTAAATAAAGAAAAATAAAGGCATGATGTAGACATGGTTGACCGTTGATATAATATGAGAGGAGTTAGTCGGGGGTGCGGTCTAATAAATACTAAATTAAAATATAATAATTATTTTTATTTTTTGCCATAAAAAATAAAAATAATTACTATGTTTTAATTTAGTATTTATTTGACCGCACCCCCGACTAACTCCTTCTCAAAAAAAATAAAGGTACTTTTGAGAAAGCCAATATTGAAAATTAGCCATTGAAGCCCTTAAAGAGAACATCAGTGAGAATAAATCCTACATTATATTAAAAACTGCTTAATAATACACTAATATTCTGTGTTTAATCAAAATTGTTGAAGCTGTTTTTGAGAAAAGTCATAAAAATTTGTTAAATCAATTAAATAATGGACCACTTCCAGTTGGCCAATTTTGACGAAAATGTTGCTGTAACATCGAACGATTATAAAAACCTCAAATATGCAATTTCGCTTTCATACTACTTTTCGTTTTTTAACTAGACTGATAGCATACATACACACTCACACACTCAGACCATTTTGTGGGACTTGGTTATTTGGACTCAAGAGACCTCAAAACGTGTATTTCTGTTGAAAACGCAAATTCGAAAATTTTAATAATGTAATACTTACCATTACTATATAGGTAAGTAAAAGTAAAAATTAATTGTTGTGTTAAATTTAAAAAACAAATAATTTAACCATTTAATTCTGAATCAACTCTCATTAGAACATCTATCCAAATATAACTCATTAAACTAAACTCCGCAAGTGTTGTGTAATGTATTATGTTATTAACTATGCATAATTTAGAGGCAACTATTTGATCTATGCTGGTTTGGATATAAATTAAATATATTCATAAAAATTTATATAATTCTTAACTTACAGTGCTGGAGTTGGAAGAACAGGTACCTACATTGTTTTGGATGCAATGTTGAAGCAAATAAGAACAAAAAAAGAAGTTAATATTTACGGTTACTTGAGATATATAAGGAATCAACGTAACCATTTAGTCCAAACAGAAGAACAGTATATTTTTATCCATGATGCTATTTTAGAAGCTATCACTTTTGCAGAAAATACATTGGGTACTGAATGTCTTCAATACATCCTTCAACCAAATGTGGATACAAATTCAGAGTATTGGATGCAGTTTGAAGCCAACTATCAGGTATCAATGCAAGCTTACTAAGATCACATAATTATTTATTTCCTGTGTTGCATTATTTTTGTATTACCTTAAAAATTGCTCTTATTACTACAAAAATAAAATGTAATGGATGTAATCTTTAAACCATAATTTTTCATTAAACACCTTAGAGTGGGTAATGAAAATCCCTAAAAGATTAAACCACTGGTCTCATTATTAACTCATTCACTTACTATTTTAATTTAATGCTGTTCATTTTGTTAGTACTGCACATGGATTGAAAATGAATTATTAGTTTTTATCACCTCTCATAAGATTATGTATTTCATAAGATTAAAATATATCTTTCTGTCCTTGAAATTGCATGTTAAATGAATGTTGGGCTTGATTTCAGATTTTCAACTATTGTTAATGTTAAAGTGGACAATCTGAATCAATTAAAACATATATGAGCACATTCCATTCCATAGGTACTGTTCAGTCAGATGGTATAGAATTCTAACTGATAAAAGTTAATTATAATTTAAAGAAATATAAATATGTAATGGTTTGAGATGGACTCTCGCTGATGCTTTCTAATTCAGCTCTAGAAAACGTGATAAAAACATCTTGTGAAAATGGAGTGATGCACATCAGAATGAATCATAAAATCTCAGGATATGCAAATGATATAGCTGTTTCTGGGGGCAATCAGGATATTCAGAGATTTGCTTGAACTGTGATAAGAGAAGCAGAGCATATTGGCATAAAATAAAACAAAATGTATGATGGTATGCCAAACAAAATCCTAAAGCACAGGATCTGCTTAGAAGGGAAATTGTTTTTGAGATTCAAATATTTCAGCTCCATAATAATTCAAAATAGAGTTAACAATATTGTTATAAAATCAGTTTTGATATAATGCTGTAAGACCTGGACTTTAACCAGAGCCCTAGAAAAAAAAAAAAATGAAAATCTTAAAGAAAAGTCCTCTTTTTTTTTTTTTTTTTTTTTGACATATCTGGAGCTATTTGGGATCAGAGTACTAATGAATGGAGGATAAAGGCCAAAACAGAATTTCTTAGAGAAACTGTTCAATCCATATCTCATGATAAGAAGGCAATCAGGTTAAGATGTGTAGGAAAAGTAGCTCAAAGCAATCAGAGAGCCTACACCACTCATAAATGCTGCAGTAATGGGGAAGAGGTCACAAGGGAGACCAAAAACCAGATGGATAAATAGAATCAATGAAGATGCTGTAGAGATAGATGCAGCAAACTGGCAGGGGTGGAGAAAACTGCTAGAGATCAAAGAAGTCTGTAAAGCCATCAGAAAAAAAATAGATATATATTTCCAGATTAAATGAAATTTTACTTCAGTGTTAATTTATATTTACTTGTATTTTACTGTGAAATAGGTATCTAGTCCAGATTTTCATTAAGTGTGCATTTAATTAGCTAGACAAGGATGATTTGTCTGTTTTTTATTTTCTGTATACCTTTCCTCTGAGGGTTCTAATTAGTAGCCGGGAGATTGATTATTGGTTTAAAATTTAAATCTATGTACTTACAATTATTTGTTATGATAACTGTTACAGTTTATTTTTTTATAACTATTTTATATTATTATAGGAGTTAGTGCAAACCCTCAAAAATGAAATGTTATTTTATTACCTCAATTCATGGGGCTTATTTGTTTTTTTGTTTTGTTTTTTTCATACCAGAAAGTCCTTTTTATGTGCTAATATCGTAGATGTGCTTATTGATATATCATCTACCAGCTTTACTGATAAATATTTTATGTTTTTAATATGAACTTTGTTCTTAATGTAGATGGTCACAGCTTTTGAAGCCAGAGATTATAATCATATTTCTGCTAACAAACCTTGCAATCAAGCAAAAAACCGCTCCCAAGAATTTGTTCCTTTAGAAAGCTCACGTGTTCATTTAACTCCTAAACCTGGTATTGAGGGAAGTGACTACATTAATGCATCTTGGATTTTAGGTAATTATTATTTTGATACAAATTACTATCTGCCATTCTTGATCTAGTTCTTATTTTATTTCATTATGATCATGATATTGAGGATAGCTTTTATCCTTCGTGATAAAGTATTTTCACAGTCATATACTTCTATTATCTATTAGAATTATATCAATTAGTTATATTTATTGAAGCAATAAAAACGATCTTTCTTAAATTAATGGATTGAGCATTGATTAGTGAATTCAATCTCCCTGATAATTCAGTGATTCAATACCTTTCTGCAAAGAGCCAATTTAAAAATAATTATTTTAAACCTGTTTTATCATTTTTTTGTTTTCTGCAAGTAAGTCAGCTGATGTTGCAATAATTTATCATACAGTTATATATTTACAGATTTTTTTAAAAATAAAATTAAACACTCATTTATCTTCAATGAAAAAATTTGTGCATGTCACAACTCGAGATTAAAACCAAATTATTTGTAGGCTTTAAGAAACTGAAAGAATTTGTTATCACACAACACCCTATGGAACAGACTATTATTGATTTTTGGCAAATGATTTGGGACCACAATGCTCAAACAATAGTATTATTATCTGCAGTTGATGAATCTCAAGTAAGTTTTGTGTTTTATAAATTCATTTAATTTCTATAATTTAGCGAAACTAAAAGACTTCTCTTCAAAATTGTAAATCACAGGATTTGTTGTAAGTGATAGATGGTTGACCAATTAAAAAAATTGACATGATATGTCAAGTTACATTGAAACAAAAAACTATTCTTATTTTTTTTTTTAATTTGGTACATATATCATTATCTATTGCAATGTTAATGTGTAATTTTTTAGTCGTTTTCATTATTTTCAAAAATATAATAAAAACTCTTAATAATTCAAATATTGTTTCTTTCCTCTTGATAAGTCGAATTTTTCTTGTAGCTCCTTGGATTTTGAATATAAGTTGAGACTGTACTAATGCAGTTATCTATTAATTATGCAACCCCAAAAAATTAAATGTTGCCACGAGACTAAACATGGAAATCTTCTGTTGTATCTTATAAATTAGGCAATTTAAGATAGTTTATTTAGGAACTCTCTATAGATTATTTGAAGTTTATTAATAGGTTTTATGTAAGCTTCTTTTGTTAAGTAAAAAATTCTTACACAAACATATTTTTATATAGAATATTATATTTTATTTTTCAATTTATAGGGTTACCCAGCATTTTGGCCATCAGAAAAGAATACCACATTTGATAGTGATAATTTCAAAGTCAAAAGTATTGAAGAAAGTGAATTGGATGGTACTGTTTCCAGAGATTTCACTATTCAATCTCTTCATGATGATTATGAGCTTACTGTCCGTATTATTCAGCCTTCTCATACTATAACTGAAATTAGTGATATTATTCATCTTATAACAATTGTTCAACAATATCATCTTGAATATCAAAATGGCCCAATTGTTGTAGTAGATGAGTAAGTTACTGTATATATTTTTAATAACAAAATATTCAATACTATTGTTCTTATTTCTTTTTTAAGAATCTCTGTTCATCAGTTATTCATCTGATCAGTTAGCTATTTTTTAAAAATTAAAATGTGTTAAAAACTATTAAGTGAAAAAATTTATTTCTGCTTTGCTGTATTAGAGTGACTTGATTCCCTTTGTGGGATCATTAGGTATCTACTTTGATGCTGATCTACTTTGATGTGTCATGTACTTAATATACAAAATTGGACCGAAATGTAAGCAGGGAAAAATAGAAATTCCTGATAGTATAAATTCAGCAAAATAAATTAAATCCTGGTATCTTGTATATTAACTCAAATTATTTTTTAGGCTTGGTGGAACTGTATCAGCCACATTTTGCTGTTTAACAACATTAATGAAACAATTAGATTATGATTCTCATGCTGATGTATCAATTTATGCTAAACTTTACCATAATAGGATTCCAGGAATATGGAAGACCATAGTAAGTAGTGTTAATTGATTTTTTACTTTTTAATATTACCAAATTTTTACTATTGTTTATTTCTGTTTACAATAAATTATTAAAGTTAAAATTGGGATCAACTGTTACAGAAATTTTAATTAATATTAATATTTCATAGGCCAATGTGCCGATATATCACTCTGTTCCCCTTTTTTTCCTTTCCATCAAAGTTTGTTAAATTTCAATAGAAATATCTGCCTAATTGCTTAGCTTTCAATCAATCATCTAGAGATAGACTTTTATACAAATTTAAGTTGATAAAAGAGTAATATACCGATATATCGGCCTTTCACTCTGTGCAGCATAGCTTGATAAGTCAATATAGGTCAATCAATCGTCTATGGATGAACGTATACAGATATTGTAACCAGCAGAATTATTCTAGAGACTGCCCTTATTTTGTTGATATTTATTTGGAATGTTCTCATTATTGCTGAATAAACTTGTTAATCAATCGTCCAGGGATCGACCTGCACAGAAATATAAGCTGATACCACTAATCCAACGTTATTTTATAGGAATTGGTTAAATTGTACTTAAAATATTCTTCTTATTTCTTAGTGGACGTTTCAAGTTACTCCCTTTTTAAGCACTGATTGACTGAACTATTCCTTTTAACCCTTTTACTGCTAACAACGGCTATAGCTGCCGCAACTGAACGGGCCCCTGTTGCTAATGGTAACTACAGTTGGCGTGCTCCACTCCTCCCTCAGTGCTGTCGGCTATAGACGTTCCACTGTTTTTCTTTCCAGTTGCTAATGGATTTTAGTCAGTGCACTGACCTTGCTACATTCTACTGGTTTCCTAATGAAATTAAGCTTCTAACTAAAGCCTACAGATGGCTTGGGGCATTATTTTGGAGCTTTTTTTGAAGAATTCATGAACCCTTATAGCTAATTACATGCTAAGGCTTTTCTCTGACTGTCTCATCCATTTTCATTCTTGTTTTTGCGTTCTTTGTGAAAAACCGTGTGTTCAACTGCTGAGTTTATAAAAATTTGATTTAGCTATATGTGGCCATATAGAATACATTATTTTAGTTAAAAACCAGAGTACAATGTCGCAATTGTCAGGTTTTTCTTTGTATTGGCAAATGTTTCAAAGAATACCGCACAAAATTAAATTATTAAATAAATGTTTAAATGTACAAGAAATAAAATAAAAAAGTTTTAACTCCGCCAGTGTCGGTCCACAGCCTCAATCAAAAAGGAGAATGGAAACAATAAAATAAGATTAAAATATAGTAGTAAGAGCCAGTAATGAAGGATGGATAGCAGGGAAAATGTATGTAGCACTGTGGTAGACGTAAACCTTGTCACTCGCAGCAGCGAAAAGGTTAAGTACCATTATTATAAATTTATATGCAATAAGATCTAAGTAAAAAAGTTCTTTCCTATCATTTCATTACTGTTTGTAATTGGACTAAGCAGTATTAATTGTGAATTGAAACGCTAATTCCTGATCGAGTATTGTATAAGAATCTTGAGTCCTAATAAGTATTGCCTGTACCAAAGATTTCTCCATAATGAATTATCACATTGCTTGGAAATTCAAAATCTGCTTTATTGAAAACTAATCATGCTTACTATATCGATAGTAATATATTTCGGATAATCCAAATTTCTATATTAGCGTGGAATAAATCTAAAAAGATAAAATAATTAACTTCAATCTCTGTCTAGAATACATTGTTCAGTTTTACGATTATTTTGAAAATGTATCCAGTACTGATGGCAGATTGTAAACAAAAAGAATATACGATCTAACAAGTAGGTCAGTGTATTTTCCTCATAATTTTGTTTGCGTAGATATGAAAAACCAACTTTATTTTGACTTGTTTCAGAAAGTTTATTCTCCTCTTAAACACTTTTTCATTACTACTGTTTAACATAAGCTATCTTTGATAAATTTTTGTCCTTTACTTTTTATCATACTCGTATAATGGAAACTTCAAACGTAAAAATATATGGATACGGAAATAGACATATATATCACTAAGATATTAGTATAATTTCTAAACTGAATTAAATATTTCAATAAAAAAATTAATGAATCGCATTAAGTTGAAAAACTTATATAAAAGTTCTTGTCTACCACATTTCACATCCATTATATTTTTTTACAATTCCATTAATTTTCATTGCTGTGTGGAATTTGATGAACTTGATAATAGAATATTTGTACATTATAACTAGACTTTCCTTCACTTTAGGACAATTGAAGTATCTCTTTTTAAATATAGTGAAATAGAAATATTTTTTTACTATCCTGGGATTGTTATCCCTTTAGAACAAATTATAGATTCAGAAAAAATACCTGTGTGGCCATACATTAAATTAAATATTTACTAAATAATATCTCATTAAATTAAAATATAGGAAGAAAAAAAAACAGTTATATATAAAATAAATATGTAAAAATAAAATAGTATAGTTAAACAAAATTAGGTACTTGTTAAATAGCTTTAACTTGTTATAATCAGGTCCGACTGCTATCTGCCAATGTTTATAACCTTAACACTGATAATTGTGATAAGGCACTGATAATATCTTAGTATTCATATTATTGAAATTGTAAACAAAAACAAATGTAATAATAAAAAAATACTTTTATTTTACTAGATATATATTAAATATACCAAAACATTATACATATATAATGTAAAAACATTGCAACATATATGTAAAAATAAATGAAATAATAAAAAACCACTTAAACAACATATGTACATATAAAAGGAAGACTATAAAGAACATATGTACATATAAAACATCTCCGTTTCGTCTTTCCATCCAACTTCAGTTCATGACCGTCATCACAATATTTCACCTTTGCAATTATCTCGGCATCTTGAAAATATTTGATAGCCTCTTCTTCTGAAGATGACAATTCGGACAATATCCATAATTTTACGAAAATAAGACTAACACAGCTTACACGAGGAACAAAAAATAAACAATGGAATAACTTAGGTTAAACGAGATAAGAATGAAGATTATGTGATATAAGATTAGATAACAAGGGAGGTTTTGACCCGACCGGCTATTTAACAAGTACCAAAAATAAATGGTATTGTATCATTGAGGGGGAACTTGAAATTGTTCTTATGTACATTTCGTGATCAATCGGGTTGGGAAAGGAGTAGGTGCTTAAAAAGGAGAGATATTGATATGGGACCATCTTTGTACTGTACTGCAAAATTGTGAGTCTAAAAGTATGTTAAGAGTCTGAGGACAAAGTTATTTATAGCATTCCACATGAATACAAAGTTTTCCAATCCTTGGTAGTGAGGAAGTAAAAGAAGGGGTTAGCTTTCCTTTTTTTAAATTTTGTTAGCAAACTTTTCCTGAAAATGTTTTTATCCAGAGTTTGACAGAAATCTCTGACTTTAGTTATCCATGCGTAACTCCATTTTATATATTTATCATGTTAAATATGTTGGTAAAATATTTTAAGTAGAAACTGCCTGTTTATTGCGTTCAAATGACACTTTTAATGTTAGGAGATCCAGGAACCATCTACTTTTTAGATGCCTCAGCGGATTATCGAGAAAGATTGGGAATTGAAGCTCTAAATTTGTGGGTTTTTTAGTTTATTATGAAAGTATTAGAGGTGTTTGATATAAATAAGGAGTATTAAGGTCTTTTTGAATAATTGTGTTTGTTACATAATAAGCACCATTTGAAGATTTTGTTAAGAGTATTTCGGATTGGGTTCTGGAGGAATTTGATGATTTTATGAAGTCCTAAAGATCGAAATGTAACAACCAGCTCAACTCAATTTCTTTTTGTGACTTTCTCTTCTTGTTTCTTTACACGAATTCTTGTCTCTAAACAACACTTTAGAAATAATTACAATTCATACTATAATTTTTCTTGCTATATTTTAGTTGAAAAAAAAAATCGATTAATGTGTAATTTTAAAATTATCTTAATGTTTGAACTATGTTTATTTTCCAAGTATAAATAATTTTTTCCCCTAAGTCTAAATTATATCAATACAATTATTTTTTACAGATGGTTGAATAGTTGTTACATGAAAAAAATACTTTTACACGTCATGTGTCTTTGTTGTTCTTTTAATGCTACACTTAATGATTTTTTTTTTCTGTTGTCATTGTAGACCTTATAGGTCTTTTAAGTCCTTAAGCAGCCTTCTCCATCTCTTCCTATCTTGGACTATTTCTTTCCAATTGTCTGCATGGCTCTTTGTCGATTCTATCTCTCCATCTGCTTTTTGCGCTTTCATGTGGTCTCTTGCCTATTATTGAGGCATTTATTTTTCTGTAGAGGCTTTACAGATGTATTATTCCAGGCTACATGCCCTGCCCATCTTAATCATCTTGGCTTAATATCATGAGATATTGATTGACAAGTTTATGTAAGCTTGGTATTTTGGTATTTTTCTTTCATGTATTAGTTCTTAGATCCCAGATCTCTCTGGTTACCTTATAATACAAAAATTAGAAAGTTTAAGTTTTTCTTAGCTTAGCTATTAGTTGTTTTTTTCTTACAAATTATTAGTTTTTTTTTAAATGTCTAAAGTTCATTTTTATTTATTTACAGGATGACTATTTGGTTTTATATAAAGGTTTAAATGTTATTACAACAAGCAAAGGTGTTTCCCTTATTGCGAGCCCGAGGTAAGTTTTTAAATACATTTCTACTTTAACATATATATGTGTGTATGTGTATGAATGAATGAGAAATGCTTTATTAAATATGTATAAATTATAAATTTCCAAAATACAAAGAACATTTATACGGCATGATTACTCGTCTGCCGGAAATGTTATATGTTTTACATGTACAGTACAAATAAAGACCTTATAACAACTGCATATACATGAATGACTAATAAATAATAAAACAACTAACACAATATAAAATAATCAATATTTTGAATAATTTATGTCTAAGAAATAATAATAAAGGAAAAAATGAAATAATAAACAATAACATGAATGAAACTAACCACAAATAAATTAGACGGATCATTGTTTATGCTGGATGTAGCAAATTAAAACGGTGTTTCCACGCATGTCGAGCAAAACCGACAATTTTACGGCATTCGTTCACAGAAGGGGCATTTAGAAGGGAAATTAGAATATCATTTCGGACCGGGCTAGTTCCAAGAAATTCGATACGAATTTGACCAAGCATTGAACACTCAGCCAAAAAATGGAATAGGTCCTCCTTACTGGTAGGTTACAGAGTGGACAATCCGTATATTCCCTGTCAAGCCACGGGATGTAATTTAAATAAAGGAGTTCACACCTAAGCTTCAACAACCTACTCAACTCGTGCCCTGTCAAATCCCAACAGCAACCATCCACGAATTTCAAAATTTTAAAATCAGTCAATTGACTATATAAGAGAAATCGATCAGAATTCAATGCCGCTAATTTACACTGCTCCCAGTGTGTGTTGCTGAGTGATTGCAGAACGTATTGTTGCCAACTGGTCTTTCCTTAACAAAAAATATTCCAAAGACCTATCAAACCTGCAAGAGTATCTTTCAGCCAAATTGCACCAATTTTTAAACCAAAAAGTATTACGTTTAATCACTTCAATGGCGATACATCTGGAGAGATGACTTTTACACGGTGGGCCAGACCCCCTTACCGTGCACCCCCCCCCCACATCCCTATAAATTGCATATCGTTGTGTTCCTTGTAACAATTTATTAAAAAAAAGCCAATGTTCCCACAAAAAAAAGTGAACGCACTGCCCCAAAATGGCGTCCAAAGATGGCGGATTGACGACTTTGACTTTAGTTAGTTTTTTGGTCACTGAGAATCAGCATTAAGCTTAATTTCCTCATAGTTGGTCTTTTATTAAAGCTGAATAGTTATAGAATAATAAAACATGAAGAAATATTAAAAAATAATTGGCTAAGGCTATGAAAAACACCAGTAAAGTCAATTTTTTTAACAAAAAAATTTTCAAGTTACAAATCAAGCGTCGTTTGTAATTAAACGGCCTACAATAACGCAAAACGTGCTGAAATAAACCATCTGGAGAATATATTTCTCTTTCTGAAACGCTGATTATTTTTTACAAATGTTTAAGTAGTTCCGTAAAAAATGCACTTATGCGGCAGAAAAGCGGTACTGGCGTGGGTGCCTACAGGCCTCTACCACACCATTCAGTGCCCATAAATGGCTTAGTTATAGTGATATAATAACATTTTTGGTACATTATATTGGTTTTATTAACGAACAAATATTAATGCAATAATTTTATAGTAAAAAAAAAAAATTAAATTAAAAAAAAATTTATTATTATTTTTTTAAATTTTAACCTCCTTTATTCTATACGTAGGTCGTTTAAGAATACCTCAATTGTAAAAATGATATAATTATAATAATAAAACTTAATTAAAAAATATTTTGCTAAATATCTTGATTTTTTTTTATTTAACGTTTGCAATTTAACACTGTGTTTTGAATATTTACTGATTCTTAGAAGTAATTAAAATTTTTATATACTTCCCAGGAAATGAGTCATATTCATACCTTTTTTATAAACTAAAATAATATATACCTAATCTGAACTATATATAATGAATAGCTACCGGGTTGTTTAGTAAAACTCATATATCACTAATTAAAAAATTAATTTTTATTTCCTTTATTTTGTGCAGAAGTTGGACTATATCATAAATAAATAGGAAATTTTAATATTGAATGAATTATTCTCTATGCACAAAGAAAGATATAAAGGGTGACCCTATAAGTTCTTCTATAAACCAAAACTGATTGTTTGGATTTGATCTCAAAATGAGGAAAAACGTGAACTTAAACGAGAAAATTGGAAAAATACATTAAGCGAACGAGAAAGGAAGTGCCAAAACCTCGGAATAGATAAAAAGGACCAGTTATATCCATTATATAGCTAAATGAATGTATAGTAGATAGATGAACAGAATATTTCAAGATGCTGCTAAAACGGGATCAATTGCAGTTTGGATGATATTAAGTGGACGATGTAGGTTTATTATGGTGAAAACCACTTTATTTTCGATTGCTGAAGGTGCACCTCGGGACTATATTAACTTTGAAGATGAATATAGAGATGTATATCGAGAAAGTTATAGCTCATAGCTTTCCTTCTGTTTAGTGGATTTTCAAAAGATTTTTTAAGGTATCTTATATTAGTTGTAGCTCGTTATTCTTCTCGTTATTCTTGAATTGTTCGGAATTTGTACCATATCATAAAAAAATAGGAAATTTTAATATTGAATGTATTATTCTCTCTGCACAAAGAAAGATGGAAAGGGCGAAACCGAACTGCTTTGACAGTTTTGCGCGTACATAGGCAACAAGCATATTAGAAAATAATATGAAAGGACTGTGGTTTTTACCTTTACAAGAAAGGAGATACTAGGAAATGTAATACCCATCAAGACCCATTCCTGTTTAGTGTATCAAACAAATTATACACAAGAATCGTAGAAGCTGGAATAAGAAATATTGTCGATTGCCAGAGTGATATGGATTGAGAAACTCAAGTTGCACATTGGAAGAGAAGTTGAAAATTGGGACTGTCTTCACTTTAAGGCAGGTTATAGAGAAGTCCACATAAAAAGAAAAATAGCTCTCTATCTGCTCAGTGCCTCACACTTTGGATTATGCTAATATCTAACTGTCTTTCAGAAAAACTCGTTTTCCTTTTAGATCCCTTAAAAAATCTTTTGAAAATCCACTAAACAGAAGGAAAGCTATGAGCTATAACTTTCTCGATATACATCTCTATATTCATCTTCAAAGTTAATATAGTCCCGAGGTGCACCTTCAGCAATCGAAAATAAAGTGGTTTTCACCATAATAAACCTACATCGTCCACTTAATATCATCCAAACTGCAATTGATCCCGTTTTAGCAGCATCTTGAAATATTCTGTTCATCTATCTACTATACATTCATTTAGCTATATAATGGATATAACTGGTCCTTTTTATCTATTCCGAGGTTTTGGCACTTCCTTTCTCGTTCGCTTAATGTATTTTTCCAATTTTCTCGTTTAAGTTCACGTTTTTCCTCATTTTGAGATCAAATCCAAACAATCAGTTTTGGTTTATAGAAGAACTTATAGGGTCACCCTTTATATCTTTCTTTGTGCATAGAGAATAATTCATTCAATATTAAAATTTCCTATTTATTTATGATATAGTCCAACTTCTGCACAAAATAAAGGAAATAAAAATTAATTTTTTAATTAGTGATATATGAGTTTTACTAAACAACCCGGTAGCTATTCATTATATATAGTTCAGATTAGGTATATATTATTTTAGTTTATAAAAAAGGTATGAATATGACTCATTTCCTGGGAAGTATATAAAAATTTTAATTACTTCTAAGAATCAGTAAATATTCAAAACACAGTGTTAAATTGCAAACGTTAAATAAAAAAAAATCAAGATATTTAGCAAAATATTTTTTAATTAAGTTTTATTATTATAATTATATCATTTTTACAATTGAGGTATTCTTAAACGACCTACGTATAGAATAAAGGAGGTTAAAATTTAAAAAAATAATAATAAATTTTTTTTTTATTTTAATTTTTTTTTTTACTATAAAATTATTGCATTAATATTTGTTCGTTAATAAAACCAATATAATGTACCAAAAATGTTATTATATCACTATAACTAAGCCATTTATGGGCACTGAATGGTGTGGTAGAGGCCTGTAGGCACCCACGCCAGTACCGCTTTTCTGCCGCATAAGTGCATTTTTTACGGAACTACTTAAACATTTGTAAAAAATAATCAGCGTTTCAGAAAGAGAAATATATTCTCCAGATGGTTTATTTCAGCACGTTTTGCGTTATTGTAGGCCGTTTAATTACAAACGACGCTTGATTTGTAACTTGAAAATTTTTTTGTTAAAAAAATTGACTTTACTGGTGTTTTTCATAGCCTTAGCCAATTATTTTTTAATATTTCTTCATGTTTTATTATTCTATAACTATTCAGCTTTAATAAAAGACCAACTATGAGGAAATTAAGCTTAATGCTGATTCTCAGTGACCAAAAAACTAACTAAAGTCAAAGTCGTCAATCCGCCATCTTTGGACGCCATTTTGGGGCAGTGCGTTCACTTTTTTTTGTGGGAACATTGGCTTTTTTTTAATAAATTGTTACAAGGAACACAACGATATGCAATTTATAGGGATGTGGGGGGGGTGCACGGTAAGGGGGTCTGGCCCACAGACTATTTCAGGTAGGCACAGTAACTTAAGACAATACTTAAAATGCAATTATAAATTGAATACCTCAAGTGGATTTGTGGCTGTTTCTAAATAAATCATATTATTTGGTGTCGTTGAAGGCAACGAAAACAATTTCTTAATGAAAAATCTCTGAAACTTTTCCAATATGTCATATCCCTGAAAACCCCAGACTTGAGCCGCATAGCATACTATGGAGCGTAATGCAGCATCAAATATTTGTTTTTTGGCGGATAGTGGGATCAGATCTTGAACAATATAACCTGACCAATTCCTATTAAGGCCCATTTTTTGCAGCCGATATACGATCTTTCAAATGAAAAGTAAATAAAAGACTGGAGCTTAGCGTGACACCCAAATATTTATAAGTATTGACTACTTCTATTGGTGAACCTTAAATCTGCACCAGGAACCGCAGATTTCAATTGTGAATAAATATTTTTTAGGACATTAATGAATTTAGTTGAGACACCCAAATTGTATAATTTCAAAATCAAAGAGTTTCTTGAGATACTGTCAAACGCTGCTTTGAAATCTACAAAGAAATGCAAAGATTTTTTGTCCTTTTTTAAGGAGTTTAATTTTTATAATATTTTTTTTTTTGTCAAATAAGTTGTCAATTGCGTCTAAAACCTGTTTGGTACTGACTGAGTAGTTCATTCTCTGTGACGAATGCTTCCAAACGGTGCAAAAGAAGACTAGTAAAAATTTTCACAGATGCATTCTAACATGATATACCCCTATAATTATGAACATTATTGATGTCACCACGCTTAAAAAGAGGAAATAATATAGATTTGCCAAAGGAAGCTGGAGCTTCGCCAGTCTCATAAATTTAATTATAAAGAGAAAGAAGCTTATCCAAAAATACAATGGGTGCATGTTTGTAAAACTCATATGATATTCTATCAATGCCCGGCGCCTTGTTATTCTTTAAATTACTAATCACAATTTGCAATTCACTTAAATTAAAAGGAAGGTTTAGAGAAGTCGAATCAACATATATTACAAGTCCACCATTACCAGGACGATTAAGTAAGTTTTGAAAATGGGAAACTAATTTGTGGAAATCGATATTACCAATAGCAAAATTTCTTCACTTAAAATGATTAGTCAAGTGCCAAAATTCCTTACAATCATTTACATTTTTAAATCGTTCGATTACCATATTAAGATGTTCCTTTTTCTTTTTTAAACATAAATCCTTATAAGCCCTGTTCGTTTCCAAATAATTATGCTTGGCGATAGTGGATCTAGTTCGACGAAAAAGATTCAACAAGGCAAACGAATTATTTCTTGCACGGAGGCACTGTCCATCAAACCACATATTTTGTCGGATGTTTCTAATGTACAGAGAATATTTAGTATTCGATTACTTCTTCTAATACAATCAATTAATATTTTTAAAACTCTTTCAGGGTCAGGAAAGTATGAAATTTCTTTAATCTCTAATTTTAGGGCATTTTTATAAATATCTGTATATTTATCCATCCAAACCAACTGTGGCAAAAGGGGTAGATAATTACATTCTGGCCAGTCTCTAAATGAGATCTCACAATAAAACCGGTAAATGATCCGAAAATGGTTCTGCTAAAATTCTGAAATAAACAATGCATGAAATATAATCTATTGGAAAACAAATAAAATCAATTACAGATTTGCCTATACTACTACTGAAGGTGAATTCACCTTCAATATTATTAAATCTACCATTCAAAATTACTAAATCATGGTCATCACACAGTTCTAATATTTTGGAACCTCAGCTATTAATGATCCTATCTCTTGATTTCCTTAACGGGTTACAATTAGGATTATCCAAAATTAAGAGAGACTGAGAATCTGCAATCCTAGCATTGAAGTCCCCAGATAAAACAAATTTAATGTGTGAATTTTTTACGAGAAATTTTGACAAACTAGAAAAATCTGAATCCCTTGAATCGCCACATAATATATATAGGCAAAATATGCAATTCAATTAGATTTTTAACATAAATCACTTTAACATCATCAATATCCAGAAATTTAATCTGGCATTGTGGTAAATTAGATCTAATTGCATACAATGTACCCCCATAGTGCGGCCAAAACGAGCCTGCCTTGTGGCAGGAATCCAGCACAAACAATATCCATCAAAACATTTCCTGTATAAATTAAATTTATCGTCTATAAAAGTTGCCAACAATACAAAAATATCATATTTCTTAAGAAGAAATTGTAAAAAATCACGAGTCGGATCATTTAATTTAGATTTTAAACTTGCTACATTATATACAATTAGAGAAATTGATGTAGTGGAAGAAGAGACTTGATGAATTTTCTGCCGGCAGGCTGGCCTATCTCATTTTTTATGTGATGAAACAAATGTTGTAGCATTATTTTCAGATACAATTACATTTGAAAAATAATCTTTATGTGTGTGTGTGTATGTATATTTTTTTACAAAATTTCTTCAATCCACCTTTGAGTATTATATATTAACATAATTATTCAAACTGGGAATTAGGTCACTTAATTATTATTCAATAAAATACAAAATGTTCATTGGTCCTGCTGTTTATTCAACATTTCAACCCAGTTTTTTTAAGTTAACAATGAGATCCTCTTCAATGTTTTATAATAGAGCCTCGATACCACTGGCCAGGGACACACTGACAGTCTCAGCACCGTCAACTAGCAAAGATATCATATAACAGTAGCTTAATATCTGTGCTAGTGGACGGTGCTGAGGCTGTCGGTCTGTATCTGACCTATGGTATCGATGCTTTTAAAACATTTTTTAATAATTTTTAAAACATTGAAGAGGATCCCATCGTTAACTTAAAAAAAAAAAAACGGAATCGAAACGTCAAATAAACAGCAGGATCGATGAACATTTTGTAGTTTATTGAATAATAATTAAGTGTGTGTATTTATATCATTGAAAAACTGAATATGAACCAATATAAACAGTAAAATGTTTGTACAAGAAATAGTTTATCATCAGTTTAAATTACGAAGTTTAATGAATATGTATGTATTTATATTCATTAAACTTTATCAGTTTTCAATTAAGGTTTACAATTGTATAGTTAGTCATAATCAATAGCGAATTCAGGATTTAATTATAGGGGTGGCCATTTTTTTCTTATAGCAGTAATTACAAGAACAATATGCTTGTAAAGATAAAATGTTGAAACTATACCTCCACTTAGACAACTGTTAAAAATTTTACCTTTATTGAAACACCTATATGGCTCATTAACGCTATCTGAAAATAAAGTCAAGATATGGATAACATTTTTATTTTGTTATTAATATAATACATGCTTAAATTTAGTTGCTGAATTACATGTATTATATAATTTCGAAAATTATAACAATGGGCTCTTCTAAGGATCCCCTCTCTTGAATCCATTCAGCACTTAAAAACTGTTATATGTTTCAACATTTTATATTATATTAGCAAGAATTAAATACATTAAAGTATAATTTTCTCTAAAGAAAAATTAGCTGTTAAATAATGTATATCACCAGAAATAAATTCAGATTGAATAATATGTTGTTTTATTCAGTCACTATCTGATATCACTTTAGTTAATATATTATTTATTAATAATTTAGAAACAAATATTTTTGAAGTTATTATTTTAAGTTATAATTTTTTTTTTTATTGAAAAAACTCTTTAATGGTATCTACCACATTTGATTTCACTAAGGTATTATTTCTTAATTTTTAGTTATGTGAACTCCTGTTAAATATTAAAAAAAAAAAAATAATACAAAAAGACAACACCAATTAACTTCTGTGGACCGTCATCTACATTCCAAGAAGAGATTGCAAGAGATTACGCGTCTTTAATTTATTTATTTTTTATTGTAGAGCTGAGAGGCTTCTAGTCATTATTACAGATAAATAATTTACAATGAACAGTTAATTAACTGTAAGTTTTAAAAATATTGACTGTGATGCCATTTTTAAAATTAAGAAATGTTATGAACGTATAGCTGCCCTTATGACCGCAATTGTTGATTTTATTTCTATGTATATCTTTTTTTTTAGATTTTTTGTTAGGTTATATGTATTTTTTATTGTTTTTCTTATGTATGCAAATTGAAGAATATTTATCAAACATTATTGCTTTTCTTTATTATTTCATTCATTATCATGGTGTGTAAATAATATTTATTATTGATTAGAAAATGATAGTATTTTATTCATTTTTTCTAATTATGTTTAGTTAATGAAGTATGAAATGAAAACTAAATCCAATGACCTAATTATAAAAATGTAGTTTTAAATTTTATACTTTTTATAATTTGCATATATTTTGTATAAACAAGCTACTGTAAGAAATCAGCATCACAAATATTTATAAAATTAATCGAATACAAGGTAATATTATATGACAAAATAATAGCATGTTCATGTGAATTGTTCTTTTCATCCGAGATACCCTCTTCCATGATACATCATATTAGTGAATGTTAAGATTCCTGTATATTCAAGCATTTTAATAGAGACTGATTGTAAATATCTATTTTAAATGTTGTACCATTTTTTAATTTAAATTATGTGAGATGCAGTGATGTAGTTCACTTAAGTCTCTTTCTCTATATTTAATTTTACACTATAAAATAAATAAATTCTATTAATTATTTATATAATTGTTGTTAGAATTAAAATTTAGTTTAATTTTACTGTAGCAAAGTAATGTTTCCCCTGTTATGCTTTAATATTCGTTAGCTCTCTGAGCATTTAAAAGAAGAAAGATTTTTCATTTATGTAGAAAAAATGTTTGTTTTTTTTTTTTGTACTACATCACTGGGGTTTGGTGATGTCTAAATTTCCCTAATTATACTTGCAGATATGCAAGAATATTGTGCTCAAACATTGATTAAAGTTCATTTTTTATAACTGCAGAATATTCATGTATATATTATACAGTGCATCCAGAAATGGAATGCTATAATTAATGAATAAATACAAATGTTTCAAAACAGAACAAAAACAAAACATTAAATTCTAAAATATACAACACTTTTTGAAATTATGTTTGTTTAATAAATTGCTACCTACAATTCATCTTCAAGATCCTCAGAGGTGGTAATATTTCACTATACTAAGTCAAGTTTAAGTGATTTTCCCTCAACTGTTGATTAAATACTTTCATGCTTCCTTTACCTATCAACATTCTTTTCAAATCAGTATTTCCTTCCTACCATACATGTTCCCATCTTATTTACCATTTTATCCCATTTCATTAGATTGCTGCATTTGATATTTATTATATTTTATTATACCATCCCACCCCCCTTCCTGCTGTTAATCTGAAACGCTCTCTCATTTTGCACTTCTAAATTTTGCTTCCTGTTCAAATCAGCAGGGCAGATTTAGGTTTTTGAATGAAACTTATTTCTACAAAGACAAGAGTTTAAGGGTTTCGGTTTGCCGTTGGTATCTCTTTGACATATTAAAAGCCTAGAGCAATTGAAATTAAGAGATATTGTGTTAAGTGGGATCTTTTGGCCCCCGTCTTGAATTTTAAAATAAAAAATTATTTTTTCAAATTACAGAAAATTTCAAACTGAAAGGATTGTATTAGTTTGTAAATAATAAAATTAAAGCTTTTGCATTGTTGAAAATCATATATTTTAATATCAAAATGTTTTTTGATGCATTTTCATCCTTACAAATTCAACAGTCTATATCCATTTCTTTTTCAATGCTTTAAATTACATTATCAAATATACATCTATACTTTGCATAAATTTTTTTTTTGTTTCCACCTTAAATATAAAAAAAAAATCATGTATAATAACAAATTTAATTAAGTCTTCGATGGATTCAAAATGACTGGATATAATTGGATATTCAAATTGATTAGAAACATTTTCAACTCGGTTACGATGGTTAAGTAGGATCAAGCTGTCACATTGAAGATTTACGAAAAGGTACTGTTATTACAGGAGCTTTTTAACATATTGATAGAGACTTCTCACCTGGGGAATGCTGATAATTTTTTCTGTTAATCCTGATCTACAAAAATTTAAGAACTTCATCTGTGCTACCTATACTTTCTCATTCTCTATTTGATCCGAAAAATCAGTTATTAAGTTTATGTGTTACTAAATCTAAATGTTCTTGGACAGAATCACTTTCATAGATAATATTTGTAGAAACATCTTAAATATATTATTTAACTGACAGTTTTGTTTGCAATTTCTGAAGATGTTTTTGTCCACTGCTTTGAAGTCTACAAATATGTCTCGATCTACTTTTATATAAATAATAATATCTGAACATACACAGACATAAACATTAACCAATGGAAAAACCTTTTGTCAAAATAAGGTCAGATATTTTCTTGTGAAAAGCAGTCAAAACATGTACAATAACACATTAACATTTTTATTAAATTTTTTTTATTAGATAAATTCAATCATAAAAAGAAAATTGTAGCCTTAATTGCTAATAGTTTCGAATCTCTATTGAGTAGTGGGAAATAATTCATCTACAACTTACCAGTATCAGCCATTTGTTTTCCAATATCTTATTTTGATAATTTCCTATCCCTTTGATTTGTTTCACTTAATTATTAAAAGTTAATAATTGTTTTATTAAACGAACTTTCTTAATAAAAATTTAACCTTTCACTTTGGTCTTTACACAAATGCTAAATACCCATAAAGCATTGTTTAGTAGCTTTGGATATGTGATGTTTGATTTATTTTCTTATTTGATCACTAATGATTTGCTCCTATAAAAATTTTAAAAAATCACAAAGAAATAGCATAAATAAATCATAATTCTTATTGCAATAATCAAAATATACTCTATTTGTGACTTTATAATAATATTTATACATGCATGATAGTTATTTGGTAGGTGACAACTTGTAATTTCAAAACCACATATAAAGAATATTTATTCATAGAATATAAAAAACAACTTCTTAGAAATGTAACAAAAATATGGAATACAACTCAACTGTAATTGTGTTTTAAAACTGGAAACTAAAAAAATTGTTGAAATTGCACATTAATAGTATAATTTAATTTATTATTAATAAATCCATCAATGTTGGACAAACCATGTTTGATTTATCTGATAAATGAACTCGTCTAGTTTGCATTCTAAGCTGAAATAGAACCATCAATTAGCCATTGAATTAATATTTAAAACAACTAGTGAAAGTATCAACTACAACAATAGATCAAAATGTTTATTACAGCATTCAAAAAAGGAAGCCACGAACAACTGAAAAAAGAAGAAATACCTGTAAAAGTGCAAGCAGAAGTTGCATATTAATCCCAGCAAAGACCACTCCACTCGCACTGGTTTGGCAAACAAAAGGACTATTGGTAAAAGTTAAAAAATAATGTAGATGATGTTACCAGAAACATCAGGATAAAGATTATTTTATTAAATAAGAAGAAAAAATTTGTGATATTTTGCAAAGACTTCATTAATGAACTTAATTTGTATTTGCCTTTAATTTTAATTGTAATTTAGGTAATATAAAAAGTTTTTTTATTGTTAGTAAATTTGCAGAAGTAATTAGATTTTTTAACTGTCCAACAATTACTAGAACAAGAAGTTTGTTTATAGATATCAGTACAAACTTGACAAGTTTAAAGGTCTTAACTCACACTATTTCTTCCATAAACTACTCATTTTTATGATAATAGAAAGTCCTTAAACCAAATAAAAACGTTTATTATTTAAACCGATCTGGAAACGCCATAAAAACGGATATATATGTAAATTTGTAGTTAGGGCATGTTAACTTTTGAGTTTCAGTAGCCGTGGTCCCCTGGATAAGTGAATAAACAAGCATATAAGACAGCTGCGGTCATTAAAGTGTTATTTATTCTACAGATAACTTATAAATTGAAAACAACTATTTTATAAATTTTTTAAAAAACAACAAAAAAGTCACTTGCGGACTCATACGACTAAATCTGTCATGTATCAGTCTTAAAATGTTTTCAGGGTACCTTATCAATAAATGGATTAATCCTTGATAAGACTCAATAATTTGCTATCAGTACTTGATTAGTACCTAATGAGACCATAAATAAAAGTAGTAGTGCCTATATTTCGGAATACAATTCAAAATTAGCTGTAAGACAATACCGAAAATAGGTATTTGAATCAGTTGATTTTTCAATTCAATCATAGCGGATGTTAAAAATAACTTTTCATACAATGGAGACCTTAGGAAGTACAAAAGAAGGCGCATATATCGCTGCATCAAAATATTACGTCTTGTAGGAGCCACTTTGATAACTTCACAATTCATAGTGTTACTGAAACCAAAAATTATTGATTAAATTAATTATTAATTTAGGAATACAGTAAATACTTAACTTAATTAATTTATTTCATGTAAATAATTATGTTAAAGTGCTCAAACAAATAACCAGGAAATCATTAATATGGAAGTTATTCCTAAATTATGAATAAAGAGCAAAAATTGGTTGGTAAACAAGAATCGTGCAGCCTAAGACAATTTTTCAAGAAAATTAATGTTATGGTAGGAATGAATAGAACATGACAGTAGTAGCCCTTAAAATTAACAATAAAATAGAAAAATAGCAAGAATTCTGTAAAACATGAAGGTAAGGGAGACGCCTTAGTTCTAAATTATCTAGAGTATTATAATCTTGGAACATAAAATCATGGTGAAACAAGTCTCTCGTAGACTTGTGCAGATAAGTGCTTACTGATAATTTTCTCACAGTATCACTGCACTGTCAGCATTCCATTGTTAATCAAAAGGGTCCTACAGCCACCCATGTCGATTCTGGTCAGTACCCATGGTGCCACCTTTACCAATAGCTATTATTTGAGGTCTAGTGCATTGGCCACACTCACTGCAAACTTCTTAAAATCAAAAATATTTTTTAAGTAAACATTATTTATTAGTGAGTAAAAACAACGGCTGATGATTTTGTCCCAGCATCATGTTGTACCAGAGCAATATTTATTCAAGATAACATGTCACTACAGGATGCCCTAGAGAGCTTAAGATGTTATACCAACTTTCATGAGACAATTACAGACCATTTGATTAGATAACGGACCCTCAATAGTTATTGGAACTGTTGGCCAAGCTGCCTAATTGATTCGTTTTGCAATCAAATAATCAAATTTGTATTCTACCTAAAAGTAATAACCTATTAATAGCCACATTCTGATCATTATTGTAGATAATATAATGCCACTGCAGGGTGCCTATGAGGAGCTTACGATGTTATACCAACTTCCCATAGATGATTTCAGATCCTTTTATTAGATATCGGACACTCAATAGTTATTTGGAATTGTTGAACAAGCTGCCTAGACAATTTCTTTTTGCCGATATGATATAATTTGTATTCTGCCTAAAATTAGTATCCTATTAATAGCCACTTAGTGATCTTTCTCCTTTTTTCCCAATGAAACTCCACTATAAGAAGCATCTGTCACTGTCGTGGTTTAAGAAAAAATTATTTATTATTCCGATTTAATTTGTTGCCATTTCATTCGATAAATAAATAATAAAAATATTTAGAAATAATAATAAAATGAAATCCATTTAAGCAGTTCATAGTTATAAAATTGTATGCATTTACTCAGATTCTACACGGGCTGTCTAGATAATTAAAAATTAATACACACAAAAAAACGTCCATTTTGTAGAATTTCTGTGAACCTCTGTTTTATGTAAGTAAACCTCTGTTTGAATAAAACACTACAATAATTAATCTGTTTACCTAGCGACATCAATGCATAGAGATAACATCCATGGAACCCAACTCTTTTCTCCATAGTAATACATTGTTAGTAAATGTGCAAGAGGCTTCAATGTATAAATTATCTGAAAATGAAAGAAATACAAAAAAAATATTTATTAATAAATAAATATCAAAAGTTATTTTAAAGATCTAAGATGGGGAAAATCTACCAGAGATTAACAATTGGAATAATTCAAAAATGTAAGAAAAAAACTTTCTATAAATTAGGTATATTAAAATGTAGGTACACTTAAATTAAGGTACAATCCTAAAGACGATTATTATAGGTTGAACAGAAAAGATCAAGTTTTACTCTTTAGACTTAGAACAGGATGAGGGCACCTCTATGAAAAATTTGAAATTGGAGAAAACTCTCCCTGTAGCTGTAGAACATCCCTTCAGACATGTCCTGAGTTGGAGAACATCAGAAAGCTAATTTGGCCAAATCTCACTGACTTGGCGATGAAGCTCTGCTATGGTCTGGAGAATTTCAGAAAGACCGTCAAGTTTTTGCTCACAATCCTGGACCTCACCATCTGAGGGAAGTTCGAAGAAGAAGAATTAAACCTATAGCTAATTCAAAAGACTAATGCACAAAAATCTGCGATGTAACAGCTCTAATTGCATCATGTCCTTGACTTCTTAACTGAAGAAGAAAATTAATATAATAACCATAATCCTGGGACATAGTATAAGCATTTCCAGCAACCAAATTCACCGAAACCTCTGTTCTCCTTAAAGTATCCATACCAAAATGTAGATTGATTTTTTTTATTATAAGAATGGATGGATAGTGGGCAAGATGATTATTTAAGTACAGAAAGCCAAGTTCTTTTACTCAACTTCATATAGAGTAGACCCACATTAGATATAATAAGATCACTTAAAAAGGCTTAGAGATATATTTCATGGTATAACCAAGGCTGAAAAATACGGATAGAGAAATTCATACATAGCAAAAGGTTTTAATATATTTTCTTGCAAATAACTAATCTACAAAAATTAAACAGTGAAGCAAAAAGTATTGTACTATCATTCATATTCTAAAACAAATCTGTCATTATGGTTTTACACAATTTTTAAAAAGGAAGGGCATCTCTATAAATGTCAAATAGGAGGACTAGATTGACTGGATAAATTTAAAGTATACAACTCTGTTATACACCTACAAGTCTACAAAGGATAAACGTACAATTTTATAAACTGAAATCTTTATCACTGAATTCTATTTTAACTCAAACTGAACATATTAATTAAGAATAGACTAAGCATTCTATACACAATAAAATACATGAGAAACTCAAGGAAATGTGTGCATAGACTTCAAGATGCCACCACACTCTCAGCTGTAGGCCATTCATTTTTTAACAATAAATGACAAAATGATTTATTAACAGATTATCACATTGTGTTTAACATCTAAAAAAAAAAGTATGATGCCTCCTATGTCTATGGAAATTACAATACTATAATATAAAATAATAATAGATAACATTACTTTACAAATGCTACTTTGAAAAAAGTAATACCTCAGCTCTAAACAATGTTTTCATTAGCTTTCCTTGATCATTTCTGTTAAGAGTAGCATTTAAAGCAGCACGCCCAGCATCTAAAGAAAAATAATTGTAATAATAAATATTCAACAAATTTAATAGATAGCCTAAAATGAGAGAAGTTAACCTTGACGATAAGTCCGTAATTTTCTGGGTTTATCCCGAAGTCTAAAATCATCAATCTCCTCTCTATTCAATGGTTCAAATGGAGGATTTGATATCAATAATTCATTATGTTTTTTTATTAAATATAAACGTCCAATGCATCTAAAATCAAACTTTAAATAAATACAAAAAATCAGCTAAGAAAAATATAAAATGATTACTACAATATTAATAGCATATTATTAAATATAGAGAGAAATGCATTATTTAAAGTAGTGCTCCCCTAATACATAGGGTTCCTTGATACACAGCATACTGATAAATCCATATTTGGAAATATTTCCTTATTTTATTATTATATATAATTTTTTTTTAATTTTTCTCCCTTGTCATATTAGTAATTTATGAATATTATTTTTTTTTATTGATCGATAATGTAACCTTTATGACCCAAATCATGGAAACAAGAACTTGACCTCCAGGGTCCGCTCTAGATAGACTTTATCACAATAAACAAGTAGCTGAAAGTTAATGAAAACTGAAATTAAGGTAATGAGAAATCATTTAAGGATAATAACCATAAACCTATAAATGTCAACTGTAAAAATGACAGCAATTTAATCTAGCCTGGAAAGGTTGACTTTGTGGTGAACCCAAAGATAAATCTTGACCTTCTACTCTGACTAAATTGGTAGGTAACCTGTAGGACAGGATCCTGGTCACAAGAGAAATAAATCACTTCTTCTAATGGACAGGAGCACCACTAGGTGTGTGAAAGGACTGTACACTGGTCACTGTCAACTAAGTAAGCACCTCTTTAATTTGGGTGCAAGTGAGACCTCCACCTGCAGGCTGTCTGGCCTGGAGAATGAAACAGCCTATCACATTATTTGTAGATGTGATAATTTGGCTAGACTGTGATACTTTCACTTTGGATGCGATTGTATCACTGACCCTAAGTGCTGCGAACTAATAGATCCTATTAGTATTAAGAGGTTCGCAAAGGCATCTGGCCGGTTATAATAAGAGATTAGGGCACAATAGGCTTTCTTGAGGCCGGGGTGCGTTCTTACGTCAGGAAGAAAAATCCTGTAGGACAACAAAACCAGCTCTAAATCGAACTCTCTCCCATCTTTTATCTATATAGACTCTTAGAAGTACTGAAAATTAATGCTATTTATTTCCATTTAAATTTAGGAAATAGCAATATTAAGGCTTATAGTCTGAATTGAAAATTAGGTAAAATCCTTTATCTAAACATCTGACCTTTTTTCTGAAACTTTTCTTCTTTGTTCCTTTTTAAATTTCAATTCATTTCATGGTTTCAGTTAGGAGAAACTATAAGTCACCTCGTTAGAAACCAATTTGAGCTACAAGTTACAAATCTGACGGGGTTGGGTTTGGATGACAGTCAATGAATGGAAGTATGTAGACAGTGACTGATGGTATCGGCATTGAACCTTCAAGTATGCAAAATCATTATTACTATTAAAAAAAAAAAGGAAATTGCAAAATTAATAAACACTACAATGTTAATTAAAATTAACTTAATAGTTGGTGCTAAAGCATGTGGCATGAATTATGACAATCAATCACCTTTCAATGCCCTTAAAGAGGTTTAACCAACCCATTAACCAATTAATAAGGTGTACTGTCCCACACTTTAATAAAGACTACAGTTTGATGGTTCCAACTTTTCATGTGTACTAGGATGGAATTCTGGTTACTCAAACATGCTTTATCGAATTAAGGACTAGATTTTTGAAAGGGCAGCCCAGGAATATGATACAAAGTTTTAATTATTATTTTTTTAAATATCACTCTGATTTAAACAGTTTTCAATTATTCAAAATTTACATATACAAATTTAACAAATAAAAAAAATGGATTCATTTTATTAAAAGGTAATAAAATGTAAATATGGTATAAAAAATTGTAAATATATAAATAATAAGAATCTCACTTAATTATTTGAATTAAAGAAATCACTGGTAAACGTATGGAACGTCCTCGAGAAATAGCGGTGACTTCAAATAATACTTCACAGTATTCCACTACAGATAACCAAATTTTTAGCACTGTTCCTTCTGGAAAGGGTTTCTTCAATATTGTGATATCATTATGAAGCATCATTAAGTTTGAAGTAGAATAAAGTAATTCTGGCCAAATTACAGACCCACTTTTCGCTGAAAATTATTACACAATTAAATAACATAGATTGTTATGAATATTACATGCGTCACATTAACATTTATAAAAAATTAATAATGGATACATTTGTTTTCATCAGTCCTAGTTATCATTTGAAGACTAATGCATGAAAAATGTTATGCTACAAATTCTAAAGTACAAAATTACAGGAAGGTTTAAATAATTGACACAAACGAAAAGAAGTCCGAAATAATTCATATTTTATTATTTTGCACTTTAGGCACTTTAAAATAAAATTCAGTTAGTTACATTAAAACATAAATTTGTTGTATAAAGACCGTTTCATGAATCTGGGGCAAGTACTTATATAAATTGAAGCCTTCAAGAGAACATGACTTGACAATTTTAATATATCGAACTCAGATAAAGTCATACTGATATTTAAATTTAAAATGAGAATAGTTAAAAGAAGAGAAAATAGAAAACATTAAACATTTATAAAAGTTATACAGTCATTGCCAAGCATAAACTTGAGTGGCAGCAGCATTAATTCATGTAATCAACTTACCACATAATGCCATACTTCCCCAAGTAAACATGTTTTCAAACTCGGCAACAGTTGTGGGGTTGGAAAACACCCAATTACAATAAGATGCATACCACTTTTTTAATTTTGACATGATTAAAAGACATACAAACACAAAACAAAAGTGCCGCCTTGTTAACTTGTCAGGTCACATAGAGGTCATATCATCAATATGCCATAGAGGATAAACATTATATTATATGAACTTTAAGGTGCATTTAGATATTCCAGGTAATATTTTCTCGGGTGAAACAAAAATTAGAATACTGTCTTAAAATTATTAAAAATATACAGAATTTGAATGGGTTCCCTTTATTGCTTTTTCCAGTTGTTTGTTGTTTGTTCATGAACTTACTAATTAAACGTTTCTAGTGAGAAATAAAATATTCAGTTTTATAAGGTGACTGAAATGAAGGTAGTCATTAGATCTTTTAACGTAAAACTGACTTTGGAATCCTATCAATAGGTGATTTCTTCAGAAGCTACTTAGCCCAGTCAAAATAGCACATAAAAAGGAGTCTATTTAGGTAAAGATCAGGTAACTCAATTTTTATTATATATTGTTATATATATAATGAATATGAAAAATCCAAGTTTTCGACATTGAAAGACTTCTGGTCCTCAGTGCTCCTAAAATCTATGAAATTTCGGATTCTTTTTGGTTCACAATAAATATCTCCTTTTTAAAGCGATATAGCTAAAAAATGTTAGCTATGTTAACTAATGCGGCTCCTGTTTGCTTGTTGCTACTTGGTCTAGAATATCACTCTCGTAAAATATGGCATCAGACATTTTTGTCGATCAAAACTTACTTTGAGATCAGGTGACAAAAGATTCCATAGCTTAAGTTTAGATCCCAAGAGTTCGGATTTGTCTTTCGGGCGGTTTAAATCTCATATCAGGTTGATAAAACGCAGTACGTGTATTTCTGTGTGGTTCATTCATGTTATCTGCCGGATCAATGTTGGAATCTTGCGACATTGACTTACTTCCAACGTCTCTTGGAACTTCCAACGTCCTGGCTTCATCGTGATCATGCAGCAGTTGATAGTCTTGGTGAGGGTAAGAAGCCCTTCAATATGTAGGGCAGTTCGAGGATATTGTATAAAATACTTTTTTCTTTGTTATTCCATAGTTGAGCTCACCAAACGACCACGTTAGACGTTTTTTGAGGGACAGTCATTATTTTATACAATATGTCCCGCGTCCCGCGGAGTTTAAAAAGTCCCGATTTTTGAAAAGAATGCTCGTTAAGCTAGGGAACGACTGGGAGAACGGGAAGAAAATATGCGGTTTTCGGCAGTCGTGTACCTATTTCACCTTGATCTGAGTTTTATATTGTTGTTGTTTATATTATGTTAAACTTTAATAATAATGAATAATTGATAAGAACTGATTATCGAGAAGTGATTAGCAAAGTTCCCATTGTTGATCAGTGGTTCGAATTTGACCACCATTGTTTGGACTAATACATACATACATATGTGGCGCGACATCCCATTACCGAGACTGGGCCTCTTCCAAAAGCCTCCGTTAGTTGACTCTGTCTTCTGTTGCAGCTCTCCAGTTCCATACGCCAAGCAGGGTTCTTGCATCATAGGCCACGCTGTCTAGCCATCTCATCCTTGGCCTTCCAGCCCGTCTTGCGAGGTGCAGCTCCTCAATCATAACTTTTTTGGGTATTTCAAAGAAGTTCATTCTGGCCACATGCCATGTCCACCTTAGTCTGGGAAGTTTAATGTAGGTTACTACGTCGATATTTGTATGAAGAGAACTGAGCTTCATATTTTTTCTTTTCCTCCAGACATCACCCTCCTTTACTGGACCATAGATCCTTCTGAGGACTTCTCGCTCGAACACACTCAGTTTCATCTCATCATTTTTCGTCATAGTCCAAGCCTCTGAGCCATATGTCAAAAAAAGCCGTACAAGGGTCTTGTATATAATCAGCTTGGTCTTCTTTGAGAGATGTCTACTTCTAAAGGGTCGGCCAAGTCCAAAGACACATCTATTGGCAGCCGTGATCCTTCTCTGTATTTCTTGAGTCATGTTATTTTTGCTATTCATTTCAGACCCAAGGTATATAAAGCTTTTTACTCAATCAAACTTAAAAGAACCTACCTCAAATGGAGAGTTCAGATCCACCTCACCACCAACTCTCATATACATAGTTTTCTTCTCGTTGACTTCTAGACCAACTTGTCTTACTGTTGCTTCAAGGGCTGTAAACGCTTCTCTGAGAGCCCAGATACAGACCTTCCTATTATATCAATATAATCAGAAAAACCAAGAAGCTGTGTCAGGCGATTGAAAATTATGTCACTGGTCTGAATACCGGAATCTCATACAGCTTTCTCCTCTGCCAAGTTGAAGAATAGACGGGCGAGGGCATCACCTTGCCGAACCCCACTGCTCACTTTAAACTCTTCAGATTCATCAGAACCTAAGCGTATTCTACATTTCGAGCTGCCCATGGTCATTTTGTTTAGATGTATAAGCTTCTGAGGGATGCTTAGCTCCTTCAAGGCGCAGTCGTATGCTGCTTTGAAGTCTAAGAATAAATGGCGGGTGACTACCTTACACTCCATACTCTTTTCTAGGATCATCCTGAGGGAAAACAGTTGATAAGGAAATGGTTAAATCTTGAGTATCAGCAAATTAACTTAATTTACTGCTTCGATTGCCGAAATGTTGTCACATTCAATAGTTTTTATAGCGTTTTAAAAAAGAGCTGCTTGATTGTGTACAAACTACTGACACAAAACCTTTAAGTCTTAAAAATTGTGTTATTATTGAAGTCATTAATCCAACGTCAAAAACATTATCAAATTATTCGTTCTCAAAAACACACCTTGAGAACTAAATTCCAAACATTTCAGCTGAGCACTATGTGATATAGGTGACAACCTGATTAAGATTTGCAAAAGATTATCAATATATAAAATGAATTATTCATTGAAACAACAAATTTAGACTATTATTTGGACTTAATGGACCAATTTTTTAATCAAGAACCTCTCCCCCCCCCCCCCGTCAATGGTGTCTCGCTTTACCAATGTTAAAATCTGGTCACCTTATCCATAGTGTGAAGGTTGCTTATGCAGAAGTAACAGTTATATGTCTTATTGGTTCTCGTTATATCGTTGATACACCGAAGTTCATTGAATGATTGTCACCAGCTAAATACCTTCAAAGATTCACTGTTCGTGTATTAGAAAAAAAGTGATTTTCCAATGACTTTTCTTGATCATCTATCTTGACACCTAAATAATGGAAGTATGCTGTTTTATTATACCCGATTAATACGAAAATCGCAGATCTCTATAGGCGAGATAAAATAAACCTTTAAGAAAAAATGGATGTTGTTGAATAGCAAAGCTTCACTTATCAAGGAAATTTTACTATTTGGCGCTTTAATAAGCTCTTAACAGAAAAATGATCAAATAAGACCTCTGAATAGACATTAAACAAAACAAAACAAAAACTCAGATTTGGATTGGGTTGTTTCTCCTTCGCCCTCCGTACATTCTTTTTAAAACATCTTTCAACTACCGTCAACTATTCGATTCAATGGCTCATTATCTTCAGGGAAAACCTATAAATTCTCTGGTCGAAGTTCAAAATGGAATTGCAGAATTCCTCCGTTCGATGCCTAATGAATTCAGGTCTAACCTTGAGATGGTAACAATGAATAAAAACACAAAGGTAAATAAATTGAATAATAATAAATTTAAAAGAATGTGTTACATTAAGTTAATTATTGCATTATATATAATGAATCAAATATCTAATGATAAAGATTTGTCCAAAATAATTTATATTATTCGTTTACCTCTCGGCATACAAATTTCCCCGGCGGAAATATATATAATCCCGAAATGAATTGAATAATGGAAACGCAACATTTTATTACAACGATTTACTGGCATGTCAGTGTCTAACGAGCAACAACCGTGACGAAGACAATGTAGGAAGGCCACAAGAAAACTATTACCAGTATTGTATCGACCCAACGTTAAAAAATACTTTTAGCATAATACCTTGAAAAATTAATTATTTTCCACTGCCTATCATGTATTAATTATTTATCTTTTCTTTCATCATTTATTTTAAATAATCATATCTTCGGCTGATTCGTTCGAGCTATCCTGGTAATCTTCCTGTCTATTTTCCGATTTTCAAAAAAAATATATTACTAATTCGGAATCTGTTTAAGGACTTATCTAGTAATACTGAATGTAATTTCTGCTTACTGGTCCAGTATATCGGTAAAATTGGACCTTGAAATATAGTTTAATAATATCTGAAACTATTCAATGTTGTTCAGGCTACTCTGGAAGCGGGTTGAAGAAGAAAGGATAATCTTGCAAGAATATTTTTAAAATTTTAATTTATCCTTCAGAATGTTCGATGACTCTCGTGTACATTGAACACGCCCAGTTTTTCTTGCCTGCTTGTTTCTTATACTAAATTTAATGGATGATAAAGGTTCTATATGGATAAAGTTACTTGAGGTTCATGATCTATTGTTAATTTAAAATTATTTTTCGTGTTCGTTTTATAATAAAATCTGAACCAACAGAAGAATCTGGCTTCTTTGTTTTGTATCGAAACCAGTGGAGGATTGGCTTAGAAGTATGGATGAAATTTAGTTGTACTAGAAATACTGGAAAGAGATACTATTGTAATTACTGTTATACATTATCTGGTTACTTTCCATTTGGAAAAATTACAACCACACAGCCTTATGTCTCCGAAATGCAGGTAAATGTTTCGCCAATTGAGCCATCATCACGACAGAAAATAAAATAAATCGAAGATCAGATAACTCCAGACAGCCCGCCATGATATTGGAGAGAAGAATATTGAATTTCTGTTTATTAGTGATTGATGCTGAACAATTTTGAGATTGATACTGTGGAAGTAAGAATAGAATTTCTTTTTTTTTTTTCGACTTTAATTCTATAATTCCTATAAGGTAGTAATACTTCTAGTTTCCTAAGGACAAGTCTTGAAATAATAATATTTTTAATTTTTTCATACAGAAATATATTAATTACCATATTCATTAATCGTTTGTTTAAAATTGATTATTGCTGTTATCAGTAGTGGTGCCCGAAATCGGTCTTGATCTTGCACTTTGCAAGACCAAGACCAAAGGTGCCTAACTGTTGCAAGACCAAGACCAGGACTGGTAAAAACAATCGATTTTTTAAAATACAAATTAAGTCAAAATAGTTACTAATACTTGACAATCTTAGTTACTATATGTTAATAATTGGTATAACCAATATACTTTTGCATTTAATTCCTCTAATTTTCATTCGGGCTCAGTTAGGTTTTTTCTTATCAAACAATTACAGTAATAAGCTAATAAGTAACTGCAAGAAGACTCTTGCGCAAGAGCAAGACTATGGCCAAGACTGAGTTTGCAAGACCAAGACTTGCCTCGGTCTCGCATTTGGACAATACTAGTTATCAGTGTGCCACCTATGCTTCATTTAAAATTTGAGATCACATATGGTAAATATCACAGTAATTGACACTGCGTCAGTAATAGACAGTTTTCACCTCATTAACTAATAATAAGCTTTACAAGCTCAAAAGACATATCAGTAAAACATTAGTTGATTTTCAGTTCAAACCCTTAGGAAGGTGATGCCTGAACCTCATGTGCTATGCCACAATAGCGGATTGGGAATTGATTTTTTAATCGAGCGAGGCTGAGATTCGTACCAGGGTGGTTACCAAACTACTTTTCTTTAGGAGATAAGTTGGACATTTTGATTCATTCATCTGCTATTTTCCATTACTTAGTTTTAAACTGTGCAACATATATTTTGTTTGTGACGAAGAATAAAATAAAAAAATAAAAAATCAGTTCCTAAAGTAATGTTTTATTTTATTACCTCGAAGAGGGTTAAATAAAATGAATTAATTAGTATTAGTTTTAATAATAAGTATTATTTTATAATAAGTCTTAGTTTTAAGTATTCATTTTATTTCGGATTGGAATAACCAAAAGATGATTGGAAGGAAAAACAAAAGACAGTTTAGAGAGAGATGGCGGTACCTCGCGAGTGTTGAGGCACGCTAAGGATTTTTGTGTGTGAAATACTTTAGTTTTGCGGTGTACACCGGATTTTTCTTTTTCTCTGCAAGAACCTGTGATTATCAGCGACGAGTGCCGCTTGATTTTACAAGTTGGTGAATGAACATTTTCACAGCTTAAAGAGGTGGACTGGGGAGACCCTGACGACGCTAGCTGGAATAAATTCCCGCTTCCTCAGATAACTCAATGTGCCAATTGGACATAGATTTTGTAAATATGTATATATAAGTTTTTATGTCCTATCTATTTTTTTCTTCAAATATTTGTAATTGGTTTATTGTATAGTCTAAGTTAATGTTTAGTTCTATAATAATTTTATATTATTTTTTTGATAATTAAAGTTAACTGTATTTTCTTTGTTTTCTTATAAATCTAATTTCTTGAAGAAAGCACTGGAAACAAAACTAACTCTACTCTGTTTTGTTTCCTGGGGAGATGACTAATTGATATTTTAGCATGTGCATGTACTCTTACATCTTATTGTATCTTGACTATCTTTGGATGTGGCATGCCATAATATTGTATATAAAATAAGTATCTTTTTTTTGTTATTTGTATTATCTTTGTTATCTTAAATATCTTTCTTTTTTTAACTTTAATTGTATATAGTAATTATGTTTGTGTTCCCTCCTTTTCCTTGTATTTTATTTCTTTTTATTGTACATAGTATTAATTCTGTAAATATTTCTTTTTGTAAATAGATCTGTTAACCTTTTTTGCTGCTTTATAAAAATTATCCAACCTAACCCCTTCTCACCTGAGGTAGAATGGTAGAGTAAATATGTAATGATGGCCATTAAAGGGTAAGTACTTTCTGTTTTCTAATTTATCTCTTTAGAGATGAAAGGCTGTTAAGCCAGGCGCCCAACAAATAAAAATTGCTATGGAAAATTATATTTATTAAAAATTATTTCATTATATTTTTATTTTATCCCTTTTTTTGGTCATAATAGTTAGTAATATTAATAGACTCTTGGTTATTATTATTTATTTTCTTTTTTTTTGCGAACCCTACCATCTCCACTAAGCATCCGGCAAGTTTGTTGCGGAAACAATTTTTCCAAATTAAAGATCGTAACATGTTTTTTTTTAGTTATATAAAAACACCTTTTGACCTCAAATCCTGGGTGTCTATTACTGGTGCAATATACGCTGTCAGGATTTTGTATTAGTACTGGTACTGGTGGGTCCTGTTGTGGTCTTTCTTGACAACCCCTGACGGCTATCTGGAGGTCTTCTTATCTTGATAATTAATTAATTGACTAGATAGAAAAGAATTCTATAAAAAACAAAATTTAGTGAGCATTAAACCCGTTTGCAAATCAGAACTACAGCTGTGGTTCACTTTAATGTTGGAAATATCTCTTAAAGTGTCTATTACTGGTACATATGGACCTAAGTCCATCTTTTGCATATTATTGTATTTTTTTTTTATCAAATAAGTGTTATAGTCTCTTCGAGCTTTTAATATGAACTGTTTTCATTCTAGTGAGAGAGTTTAATAATGCTCTGGATCCGTTACATAATAACCATTTCCTGGACTGTTGCCACATATGGATTTTATATCATAGTTTTATTATTATTTAAGTAAAAAAAAAAAATAGGATATTGGGTAAAAATACACTTTAAATAGAGTTAAACAATGTTTATTTATATTTTATTAAATAAAATGAAATTTACATTTTTAAAAAACGCAGCAGTATACACTTATAAAACCCAGCAAGATGCTTTCGTTTATCATTTGAGAATATGAGTTTCTATAGAAAGTTTATACAATCCTATATTTTCACATCTTTAATACCTCTAGCATACAGTATTAAATTTAAACAGATATTTTTGTGTAAAATCATACTGATATTTCATTTCATAACACTATATTCGTTGATTCAACAAGGGGACATTAAAATATATTTATATTATATATATATATATATCGTTATTTGAAATGATCCTGAACTTACGAATATTATGAAAAACATGCCTATTTACATATATACAGAAATAAACACAGCACTAATATGTCTGATACATTTAATGATAGATATTTTGTTTAACAAGGAAAACATTTTCTCTTGTCGGTCGGTTGTGATTCCCCCTAACATGATGAAATCAGTTCACATGTTTCACTGTACTCTGTCCGATTTACATTTTCTAACTTTTGAAAAAGTGTTCAGAAAAGATTTGAAGCAAGGCCGGGCGATATCTTGTTGCCGTGGAGAGGATGGGACGGTCCGAGGAGGTAGCCAGGGGTCGTGCTCAGCAGCGAAAAGGAGGACCCCAAAGCTGGCGAGGGTTCTTTTCCCGTCCATTTATCTGCTTCCATCTTACCTACAAAATAACAAAATTAACATAAATAAGAAGAATAAAAAAATAAAAAAATGCTATCGGAATAATGACTAAAGTAATTTTTCTTTTTTTTTTTTTAATTAAAGAAATTTACAACTGTATTAAATAGTAAATACAACAAGTAAATATCAACAAGCAACATGACATGTACAACAGACCCTACACGGCCATTCGGAATTGCACTAACGACGTTCCGAATTATCGTGTAAGGTAGTGAATGAAGTGGAATGATGGTGGTGCCCAGCGGATTTCCGAACATCCGGAAATCAAAGGTTCATTCACGAGAAGTGGAGGGGGGGGTGAGGTAAAAGTAGTGGGGAGACTAAACATACTGCTGGATAGGTTAGTTTACCTAGGCCTCACAACCATTATAAATTTCTGATTTTCATTATATATAAATATTTAAATAATTTTTCGTATCCCTTGTTTATAATTTTAAACCATCTTCAAGTATTTCTTTTAAATAGTCAAGTGGGCAACAAATTAAAAAAAAATGGGAAACTTCACAATTTACTTTAAGAAAATAAAAAAACTTTAACATTGTGTATATTTATCAGTTCTTTTCCCATTTTCCTCAACAAATTTATTATTTTCGCATTACCTTTCCTTAATTTTTGTAAGTAGTAGACTTATATTTTACTAACTTTTGTCAAAACGATTTTCTATGAGACTACTACTAGATAGTTTAGTTTACCTTTATCGGATTTGTTCAACAGGGATAAGTGGGGTATTGTTAAAGGATACTGTAGGACAGGAAGTCATAGGTTTACGACAAAGAGTAAAGGTAATTTCACGGGATTTATTAGAATTTATTTTAATCCTCCAGTTTTGACACCATTTTTCAAGACTTTTGATGTGTGATTGAAGAGTTTGGAATGTAATAGATGGATCGTTATTAAATGATAGGATACATGTGTCATAGGCATAAGTGGTGATGACAGTGTTGGAATGGGTTGGGATGTCAGCTGTATAAACTGTATAAAGGATAGGACCTAGGATACTACCTTGAGGAAAAGTAATTTTATAATTACTTTATAGATTACGCTAGGACCAAATAAAAAGCTAGGATCTAAATTACATGAATTAGGTTAAGAAAAATATCACTGTTATATTTAATCTATGTATGATTATTTTTTTATAAAAAACCTTTTTAATCTCACACATTTGTATGATAAACAACATTCTTTAGGTTATTCATGTTTTTTAATAATTATTATATTTAATCTATGTATGATTATTTTTTTATTTTCTAATATAATTTATTTCAGTGACATTTGTATGATAAACAAACTTCTTTAGGTTATTCATATTTTTTTAATAATTATTATATTTAATCTATGTCTGGTTAATTTTTTATAAAAATCCTTGCATATATATATTTATGTTGCTATGCTTAGCAGCATAGATTTATTTTCTATTTCAATTATTTTATCATTTATCAATTATCATATCATTTATCAATTTTTTATTCAATTATCAATTTAATTTATTTTCTGAAATTCATGAACTAACAGTGATATTTTTATGATAAACAATCTTCTTTAGGTTACTCAATTTTTTGTGAGATTTTTTAATAATTATTAAATTTAATCAATGCATGGTTAATTTTTTATAAAATCCCTTTTTAATCTCAACGACTTTAATTATAATTTTACAATATTTAAAAATTATAATTTTTTAATATTTATACATTATCAAAAATTCATATTCTTAAAAAAAAACATTTTTTTTTGTTTTTTTTTCATACTGTATGACTTTTGGGTATGTATTTACATATGCATATATATATATATATATATATATATATATATATATATATATATATATATATATATATATATATATTTATGTTGCTCAGCATAGCAGCATAGATTTGTTTTCTATTTCCTAAAATTTATATCCTGGAATTCATGAACTAACATTAGTATTTGTATGATAACAATCTTCTTTAGGTTATTCATATTTTTGTGAGATTTTTTAATAATTTTATTTTTAATGTATGTATGGTTATTTTTTTATAAAAACCTTTTTAATCTCACCGTCTTTTATTATAATTTTAAAACATTTTTACAATATTAAAAAATTATTATTTTTAAAGTTTCGGCTCTAAGAGACATTTTCGAAAATTTTTATTCTTAAAAAAAACACATTAATCATATTAAAAACATTATCACTAAAATTTTTTAAAAATATATCTGTGTATAGAATATTACTCTATGGTAGTACTTGTTTTATTACATATGAAATGTTTTGTTTTATTTTTACTTTTCTTCAGAAAGTCCACAAAATTACTCTTATTTTCACCATTTTATCAAAAGCTTGATCCTATAATTCAACAACTCCTTTTAAATGTAATAATTTAAAACAAACCTTTAAAAAAAAAAAACACTTCATTTTACATATTTATTTTTTGTGTGTGAATAAAGTGCGTTTGTTTTTTAAAAATGTTTGTTTTAAATTAATACATTAAAAAGGAGTTGTTAAATTACAGTATCGAGTTTTTGATAAAATAAGGAAAAGAAAAGAAATTTTGTGTTATTTCCAAAATATTTTATATGTAATAAATAAATCAATAGTATAGAGTAGTATTCTATATACAGATATATTTTAAGAAATATTTAGTAATAATATTTTTAATATGACTAATGTTTTTTTAAAAATAATACGAGATTTTGACAATGGCTCTTGGAGCCGACACGTTAAAAAATAATAATTTTTAAATATTGTAAAAATACTTTAACATTATAATAAAAGTTTGTGAGATTAAAAACTGTTTTTTATAAAAAATTAATCATATATAGATTAAATATAATAATTATTAAACAATCTCACAAAAAATATGATTAAGCAAAAAAGGTTGTCGGTCACAAAAATATTACTGTTAGTTCATGAATTTCAGGACATGTATTTTATGAAATAATTGAAATAGAAAATAAATCTATGATCCTAAGCTTAGCAACATAAATATATATATGCATATGTAAATACGTACCCAAAAGTCATATAGTATGAAAAATACTAAAAAAAAAAAAAAAATATATATAAATCTTTATTCTTAGATATGTCGTCTCATATCGAAGGATCGGGTCATTTAAAGTGTACACAGAATAACTTCATAAATATGTACACAGCAAAAAATTGGTATAGACATTTCAATAATATATCAAAATACGTACCAATACAAAATAACAAAGATGTTTAAATAGAAAGTTATGAGATATTAAGAGAAATAGTAAATTATCGGAATAAAGAGGATGGAAATGTTTAATTAATAATCTCATATTATCCATAAAATTTAGTATTACCCAAAAAAAAAAAGACCAAGACCGCCTAATTGTAGCAAGACCAAGACCAAGACCGACCCTGCAAGATTTGAGCAAGAACAATACTGACCTGCGAGGCTCTTGCGTCTTGCGGTTAAGTCAATCTAAGATTTGGGCGTTATTGAGTATTCGGTTTTAATATCGTATTTGACGTTTCCTAATATTTGTACCAAAATCACGATTTCATCCATATAACAGCAAAGTTGGCAGTTATAACACTAAAGGCTATTTTATTGATTATTGTATTTTGAGGAATAATAAAATTAACATTTTAATCTTACATTAGTTTATTTTATTTTTTATTGTACATCGTTTTTAATTATTATTTTACTATTGTTAATTTTATATTTTCTGTATATATGATATGAATGTGTTCATATATCAATATAATTATTGTCTAGGTGACAGATTGTTATATTTCTAAATAAATAAATTTAAAAAAAAATCTTACATTAAATTTAAACAGCAGTTTATTTTTCTTGTTGAGTCATGAATTTCAGCTTAGCTCTTCAAATAATTACAAATAAATAAACATTTGCCAGGACTGGAGCGAGATAAAAAAACGTAACAAAAAAACAACATGTTTTTGTGAAAACTTAAGGCAAAGTAGTTAACAGGACAACCTTAATGTATTTTCAAGTTAATTATATTAATTTGGTTGGACTTTAATATGTCTATTTCATTATAAACTCAAAATATATCAACTCAGTTGCGTTTTATAAGATCTAAACTAACACAGAATTGCCCATATACCCAAGGTCAATGACACATGAATCCTTCCCCCCAATCCCAAGAAATGTTATTGGTCTACTCTTCTTAAAAACAGTGCAAGCGGGAGTAGAATTAGAAAAATCGTAGATTATATACCATTACACTTGTTGTGGTCTAGTCCATGTTTTTCTCCTAGTTCCCTAGTCCGAAGCTCCGATAATTCATAACTACATCGAAATGTGCCTCAATGAGGAAAAAACTTCAAAACCCCGTCAAAATATCCCTCCCCCCTCAAAAATTTTGATGGCACAACTTGCGCCATGATACCCCCTTCTGGGTACCCCTGAACTAACGTGTTTAATAAAAAGTAAAAGGCTAGAAGTACTGAGGCAAGACGAATACAGACGCAGGCTAAATCTCGTTATGGTATTGCATCTGAGCAACACTAATAAAATCTACATATGAAAATAAAATCCTCCATATCGCAAAATGATATTAATGTTGAAATATTTCGGACATCCTCATACTCATAAAAGTGGTACATTGATTATTGAATTAGGAATACGTAAGTATGAAAACAGTTTTAGTAGTGATGAGTACAAAGTAAGATTGGCAAAAGCGATAGAGGGCCCTTGAGAAACTACACATTTCATGGGAATGAAAGCAGAAATGTAATAACCTGAAGGAAAATAAAAGGAGAATTACTTAAGATTAACGGAATGAAAAGCTTTTGTGAAATAAAAAAAGAGTAATGATATGATTTTGTCGGATGGAAGTAGGATAAACGGTTTTGGATAATTTTTAGTGAGACGGGTTTAATGGACCATAGTGTTGCCCAAAATCGGTTTTGGTTTTGCACTTTGTAAGACCAAGACGAAGGCCACCTAACTGCTGCAAGATCAAGACCAGGATTGTTAAAAAAATATGTTAATTGGTATAAGCAATATACTTTTACATTTAAATCCTCTAATTTTTCATTGAGGCTTAGTTAGGTTTCTCGTATCTAAAAAAATACAGTAATATTTCTATAGTAATAAGCTAATAAGTAACTGCAAGACTCGTACATGACCAAGACTGAGACCAAGACCAAGTCCATGACCAAGACTGAGTTTGCAAGACCAAGACTCGTCTCTACCTCGCGTTTGGGCAACACTAATGGACCAGCCGGCATGAACAATGTATAATATGCTTGAGCTCCTTGACCATAAAGGATTCCTTTTTTAAGAACCCTTATTTGAAATAATACTTTCATTTCATATCAATAACCTTCACCTCAAACCCATGCCTTCAACAACCAAGTAGAATGAATCGCCTCCATGTTAAAAGGCTCCGTATCAACGATCTTCATCAGATCGTATCAGACAAAACTGCGATTTATTAACAATCAGAAGGAAAGAAGGGGGTGCTGTGGCAGATTTTTAATTATTTTTGAGTGGACCATTACAATATTTAGCCCCTGGGAAGTCAGAAATCCTGGCGTATGCCCTCTGTCAAACCATATTTCATGGGGGTTAGAAGAGGGTTGGAGCCATCATTTTTCTATAGGGGCGGGGGTTGAACTGTTGCTGGTTGGAGGGCGAGTAGTGACGTTTAATCTAGAAAATTGCCGTGTCGGCCTCGTTCGTTTCCATTACTGTCACCGGCGAGGCCCCATGTGTCCCCCACATCATTATGCTCCATATTTAATCTTCAACTATTATCCACTCATTTTTTTTTTCCTTTCCTGCGTAGGATCCCTTTTATATGGTTGTGCTTAGTGTATCGGTAATCATAGTTAAGAGACACGGAAATTTGACTATTCCATTGATATATACTTTATTAATAAATAAAAATAGTGAATAGTCCAATATTTAGATATTGGACATACTAGACTGAAACGACAAGAAACCGCTCAACGTTTTCGAACACTTACAAGACAAACGCTCTAAACTTCCAATTAATTACAAAAGACTCACATACATGACTATAATAAGGTCTATTTGGACTTACGGAGATGAGCTATGGGGCTCCACTAAACCATCGAATTCCTCTCGTATCCATCCTTACAATACATAATCCTTCGTAAATTGCTCAATGCTCCCTACTTTGTTACAAATGAAACCATCCATAATGGCTCTAATGTTTCTTATGTTTCAGATATGACTCAATCCAGATACCTATCTTTCCATAATAAACTTCAGAATCATCCCAACCCTCTCGTTTGTAACCTTGTTTCCTCTTCAATTCTTGATAACCCTCTGAGGCGTCTGAAAAGAAGATGGCCTCGTGATCTCCTAATGTAGACATATCATTAGATTGCTACCATAGGGTAGTTACTCAGCAAGTGTTTTCATGTCATTATATCCATATGTTCAAATGTACTAGATATATTTATTTAATACAGTTGTAAATATCATTAATAAATAATAATAATAATAATAAAAAATATTGAGAATACACTAGTATACCGTATTCAATAATTATAACTGGACTAAGAGAATCCAGAACTTCGAAATAAATACCAACAACCGTTGGTATTTATTATAGTCTGCTTTCTATCCTTCTCCAAAGCTCGTTGAAACCTAATTCCCCGAGACATAATCCTTCTATCAACTGTTAAAATCTGACAGATAATTCCGTAATTACGTGTTTATCCGTACATATATTACTACAGTAAGGCTCGAAATCGGTTTTGTACCAAATATAAGCTCCTGTCATGCTCAAATACCATGAATGGGGTACCGTTGGATTCAGAATTTCACGGGGGGTTAGCGAATCGTATTCTCCACTTTTGTTTTTCTTTCTAAAATAAATAAAGTCGATACAAACATTTTGCTAGGCTTCAATACCTGAACAGTGGTAGGCCTGTAGATCGATACGGGACAAATCGGATCTAGAAGATTTTGATGCGTACAGCAAGACCCGGATAGTTCCCTCGGAACTATCGGATCCTGCGTTTTTAAGCCCAAAAACGTACTATTTTCGAGATAACGCAAGGCATAGGGTTCGCATCCACACAACCTTACATTAATTGTAGTACTGTCATTGAATACATGTCTCATTTCGTCGACATGAGTTCTCTATGATCGAGAGAGGAGGAGTTTATATTATTTATCGATGGTATTTTTGATCGGCAAGCCATATCATCGTCAATTTTTCACCAAATCACAAGATTGAGCCACCAATTTCGAAGGCTTCCTTTTCCTTCAGGCGGACAAAATAGTCCAATCATCCCGAAAATTCAGGCAAAAAAGTTATAAAAGAAAGCAAACTTTATTTGCGAATAACTAAAAAAATTACTTACTTTTCCCTACTAAATTTCCTACAAAAGGAAAAAAAAATCATCGACATCGGACAATTTTTAGCAAAGATACAGCTTACTGAAATTCGTAAACATGTTGGTTCCAAACAAAAATGAAGATTTAAATTAACATTTGTTTTCTTTGTCGATTATATTTATCGGTAAAGTAACGTTTGATTTCTTTGACTTTTGATAGGTTGCATTATTTTATTTCCTTTTTAATCTGGCATTTGATGACAATATGCTGTGCGAATTTTTCGCACGGGCCTACTAGTTTTATATATTGTAGATTCTACGTAGTTAACACCTCACTACTCATTCGTTTCTTCGCATGCTTCACGAAACAAAATCGACTATAACGTCTTACGAATAATATTAAACGGAATAAAAATGTTTTCAATTCAAATCAGAACAGGCAAAAAGTTAACTATGCGGGACTTCACACGGGGGAGGGGAGGGGGAGGGTTGGTATAAAAAAAGGAAAGGGAAAATAGAAAACTGTGAAGGGAATTAAGGAAGGGGTCCGGTGTCTCCTGGGAAATCGCCTGGTAGGACGTTCATCGGGAAGAATCAATATGTTGCCTCTGGGATACCCGGCCACCTTGCGCCCCCTCTCCCCTTCTGAAGGAAATTTATCTAATAGATCAAAAATTACAGCAGTATATTTATTACTCTATCCAAAAACAATTTCCTACATTGATTTAAAAGTGTCAAAATATATTCTTTCAAGCCGCATTCTGTTGATAGATGAAGGTGTATAATTCAATCTAACGGATAACGTAATGAATAGGTTCTTGTGTTATTTAAGTTCATAATTAGTAATTTTGTCAAATTAACAGTTTTCAATCTTTTATTATTTATTGACCACGTCCACTGTCCTTTATGTATTTGTATGCATTTTATGAATTGGGTTAGGGAGAGATAGGAGAGAATATAGGGAGTAAGAAAAATGTATAAGGGGAGAGAAGGAAGAGAAAGGGATATAGAATGCTAATAAATGAATTTAAGAAATAGTTAAAAAAATAAAAAGAAAAGAAAAAATATATATAAAAAAAATAATACGTATATATAATAAAAATTGTATACTACGCTCATACATATTGTTAATAATATATAATTGTATATTAGTTTTAGAAAATTGTATGTAGTGATTAATAAGTATGCTTTGTTTGAAGCAACCCAATGTAATTGGGCAGAACACTTTTATGATAATAAAGTGATTTTCTCTCTTATATATACACACACACAAACATATACGGTGCACCGAAGGTGTTCTTTAACACCATTTCCATTTTTTCATTAAATAATTTAGTAACTAAGAAACAAATTTTAATATATATATATATATATATATATATATATATATATATATATATATATATATATATATATATATATCCTCACGTATATTATTACAGTAAGGCTCGAAATCGGTTTTGTACCAAATATAAGCTCCTATCATGCTCAAATACCATGAATGGAGTAGCGTTAAATCGATGCAACCATCGATTTCCTCTCGTATCCAATCCTTACAATCCAAAATCCTTCGTAAAATCCTCAATGATCCCTACTTTGTTACAAATAAAACCATCCAGAATGACCTTAATGTTTCTTATGTTTTAGATCTGTCCCAATCCAGATACCTATCCTTCCACAACCAAATTCAGAATCATCCCAACCCTCTAGTTTCTAACCTTGCTTCCTCTTCAATTCCTGATAACCCTCCGAGGCGTCTGAAAAGAAGATGGCCCCGTGATCTCCTAATGTAGACATATCATTAGAGTGCTACCATTGGGTAGTTTCTCAACGAGTATTTTCACGTCATTATATCCATATGTTCAAATTTACTAAATGTATTTCTTTAATACAGTTGTAAATATCATTAAGAAAAAAAAAGTTGTTGCAATTTGAAAGATATTTACCTGTTCCATTAATAGGTTTGATGTCTTGTGGACTAGGTGACTGAGATTTTTCTTTTCCTTTACCCTCGCTTTTGACTTCCGATTTTTGCTGAGCTATTCTCTCCTGCTTCCTGAATTTTGCTCTTCTATTCTGAAACCAGACCTGAAAATAAAAAGTAAGTATTAAGTTGAGATTGATTTATTTTTAGAAGAATTATATATAAAATTTTTAATATGGTAATATTGTATAATAAACTACCGCAATATATTTCCAGTTTCATTTTATTTATTCCATCATATGAGTAAGCACTTTATTAAATGTATTGTGTTTTCTATCTTCAATTGCATTTTTATTGATAATACGTTATTTAAATTGTTACAAATATATAGTCAGATTTTCATATATACATCCAAAACTTTATTACATAAATGTCGAGTTTAACGTAGGTCGTTATTTTATTATTTCTAAATTCAATTATTACTAATTAACAAAATTTGTTTCACGGAATATCTTTTATTTATGTTAAAACATGTTAATTACTAAATAATTATTGTATACATTATTTAATGTATTCTTGATTAGGAACGTGATTTTTTTTATTCTTCGAACTTCATAATTTTACGTTTATTCTGGAAACTTTTAGAAAAAATAAAAGTAAATAGTTTTTCCTGATTAATATATAATTTTTTTTTTTTTTTTTTTTTTTTTTTAGTAAAATCCAAAATATATAGAATACATCACCCGACTCTGGTGATCACGAGCATAAAAGAATAATGAAAAAAATCTGCAATAAGTCATTGAATGAATATGTTTGAGAAATTTTTAGATTACAACATATAAAATCGTGCTTTTGTTCATTGTAAATAGCTGGTAGGTTACTGTTTATAAATTTAAAATGAATATGTAAACGGTATTAATAAAAAATATATATAAACGTGTAGTGTATCACACATCTTTATCATTTCTAAGACTAATGAAATATATTTCAACAGAAATGGCGAAAACACCATGTGTAATTATTGTATTAATTTTATATAGTTTTCTTATATTAAATTAACACATTTTTAAATTAAAATTGAAAATTAATTAAAACCGATATGAGCCATAACTAGTTATAAATTGAATTAAATGCAATGTTACTAACAGTTATATTTTTTTTGTTTTTGCTACCAAAGAAAGAGATGAATCAAAACAATAGTAATGATATTAAATCGATAAATGAACTATTATTTTTAAATTATTATTGTGCATTTAATAATAATTATTATTACTGAATTTTATATCAATAAACTCTTGATCGATTTTTAAGTATTCATATATTTAATAAAGGAATCGTAAAACATTTGAATTGAAAATTCGTCTATCTGCAGCGTGACACGTAAAAACATTATGATGATTTACAAAAATAAAAAAAATAAATTATAACATTAAAAGTGAGCATTCAATACTTACAATTAGGTAGAAGACATTTATTAAATTAAATATTCAATATTTTATAAAAAATTTTTTGATTTGCAGCAGACAACAGTAAGGCGTAAAACTGTAGTCAAGGCGATGGGCGCTGAAGGTTATACTAAACTTTAGTATATATAATCCTTTCTTTTAAAGGTCTGAAGGTGTTCTTCAGTAGAATATTGAATATATAGATATAATATAACAGAAATATAAAACAAACATTCGAACGTTTTCCAAAGTGTTTTAATAAATTATATATTGAAAATTTCATCGGATAAGCATATTTTATTATTAAGAGTCGACAGGATGTCATATTTTTTATTTATTTCAGTTTTATTTCACTCATTGAGTGTTGAAAATATAATTTGTTATATTATAGAAATACATTAAAAAAAAAAAAAAAATTTTGAAATCGCACAATTATATGGAATGACCTTCGTTGAATACAATTATTGTTATTTTATATATTGAATGATATTTTTTTTTATTTCTAAGATAAATGCTAGATGAGTAGGTAACTCAGTGGCAGGCGCAAGGCTCAGATTCGAGTCTGGTTGAGGACAGTAAAATATTTTCTGTTTCATCAGTCTTGGATCGACGCTGGTGTTGAGTTCTCTCCTGGGACACACCCTACTTCTTTAAATTGTTTACCTGTCCATTTGGATGAGTGAAAACCTGGTAAGTGACGATTTAACTCTTCGTTTAACCAATGTAAAGAAATTTCATTACCTAGATTCTTCTTCTGTTGTGATGGTACATGTTTTCTTTTTATTTATTTTTTTTTTAGGGGGAAAGGGAATCAAATATAGAATTTCGTGATATAAAAAATATCGATTCCTCTAGTTTTGAGCGAATGAGTCCTATTAAAGATACTTGGAATGGGTATTTTAATATGTTTTGTCAATCTGGTATTGAAATTACGATTTATTCGATTTTTTTTTTTTTTGCTTACATGTGTTGGTTTCGGTATGTAGTCGACTGTGTATCTAGTACTGAAAGCCACAGGCAGTGGAGTAGATAAAATTTTATTATAGTCGATAGATTTCCAAAGAGATTTGGGTGTTCTGGGTCATCCAAAGCTAGCAGAACATTGTCATCAAGAGAAGATTTCCATCCACGGACATCTTCGTCTTCAAGACTGATGTCTCCCTCAAGAAATTTTTTAAAACATCTTTGAATAGTGTATCCACACACCCTGCTATCGACCCGCACACTTCATCATTACTTCTGGTCAATTGGCCTTTTCGTTCTGGGGATTCGTAAAACAGTGGGAGTAGATAAAATTTTATTATAGTCGGTAGATTTCCAAAGCAATTCGGGTGTTAGAAAAGCCAGATGCCCGAATAAAAACAGGATAAACGGAGAGGGCGGGAGAGGGAGGTGGGGGTGCCGCTTGGGAAATCAGGTTCGCTAATTTCGAACAAAACTCGTGAGTGGGCAACCGCACAACCGCTTCCTTCCACAATTGTCTGGAGGGACAGCATTCTATTCGGTTGGCTTGGTTATACATTAGCCAATCACTCTGGCAATTCATCGGGAAAAAAGGAAATGAACGAAATAAATCTGTAGTTTGATGGCTAGTAGGCATTGAAAGTAGCATCTTTAAAAAGCATAAAGATTGTATAATATTTATATTTCGTAATTTATAGACCTTTTATTTACGTAATATTTTCTAAGAATCATAGAGAAAATGGCTCTTTGAACTGAAACATTTTCAAAGAATAGAACGACAAAATGGTTGAGAAAATTAGCAAATTTGTTATAAATGTTGTTTGTAGAGATGGGCACAGGCGAATCTACATCAGTCTTGAAGACGAAGATGTTCGTGGATGGATACATTCTCTTGATGACAATGTTCTGCTAGCTTCAGACGAATAGAATCCCAGAACACCCGAATCCCTTTGGAAATCTACCGACTATAATAAAATTGTATCTACTTCACTGCCTTCGGATTTCAGAACTAGATACGCAGTCGACTACACACCGACACCAACACATGTATGTAAGAAAAAAAAATCGAATAAATCGTAATTTCAATACCAGATTGACAAAACATATAAAAATATCCATTCCAAGTTATCTTTAACAGGGCTCATTCGCTCAAAATTAGAGAAATCGACATTTTTTATATTATGAAATTCTATATTTAATTCTCTTCCCCTTAAAAAAAAAATAAATAAAAAGAAAACATGTACCATCACAACAGATGAAGAATCCAAGTAATGAAGTTTCTTTACAATGGTTAAATCGTCACTTATCAGGGGGGGCTGAAGAACCCCACTAAAATGGACAAATGATTTTTTTTTTTATTGGTCTCCATTAATTTCTGAGAGTGATCTAAGCTAAATACTTAAAACAATTGCAATATGTCAACTTCCCGCGGGGATCATCCGTATTGGTAAGTACCATAGGATTCGATCCTATGATCTTTGCTTTACTAATATAGCGCACTAACCATTCTGCTATACCGGTATTATGGAAGCATAATGTCTAAGAGTATTATTGTTTGTGTAATTAAATTTTTTTTAAATAGCGCTTCAAGAATCATTTATAATTAATTTTTAGTTTCTTCTTCTTACGATGTAATAATCATTATATATTGGGTTGAGGAAATTTTATTTTTTTTTCAAGTTTTTCAAAGCGAATTTATTTATTTAAATTTCATACATTGGCTAATGATATACGTGCCCGTTTCGATCGATGACGTTTTGCCACTTTCATAGTAAAACCAAGTGATTTTCACAATCCTCTTTTGATGCCAGCTCTCCACTATTAAGAGAATTCCGCAGAGACTGAAACAAAACAAAGACGGGGCAAGGTTCGGGGTATTTGGTGGATGCATCAAAACTTCCGAGCCAAGCTCCCTCAATCTTTTCCGGGTCATTAAAGATGTGTATGGTGTAGAGTTGTGATGGAAGACAACATATTTCCTGATCAATTCTTGCCGTTTTTCTTGAATCGCCTACTTCAATCGCACTAGTAATGGTTTGGCCATGTTCGAGCAGTTCATGATGAACAATTCCTTTCCGATCCCATCAAACACTCAGCGTCACCTCTTATGGCGTAAATCGGGCTTTGCCAATGTTTGTGAAGCTACTCCAGGCTTTGACCACGGTCTTTTTTGCAGATTATTGTCGTACGTATATAATGATAATTACATCGTAAGAAGAAGAAAATAACAATGAATGATAAATGATTCTTGAAGCCCTATTAAAAAAAAATGTAATTACACAAACAATAATTCTTTTAAACATTCCCTTTTCATCATCCATAACCGTCCCTTTCAAAAATCGCTCGATTTCATTTTGTTTCAGCAGCGCTTCACAAATTGAAACTAGATTCATTAAATTTGTCACTATTAACTCATGTGAAACCCAAGTATCGAGCTTATTTGGGTATCCAGCCTTATGTAAATGGTTCATGACTGTTTTATGATCAATGTTTAGTTCCGTAGCGATGTCGGGAGATGAAATATGTCGGTCTACCTCGATTTTGTGAAGAATTTCATCGACTTAACGATTCATTGAGTAGCTGTCTCTATGGTTATTTCTGGATTTTTTTAGCGGTACTAACTGAAATATAAATAAAAACCAACATAAAATTTTGTTTAAAAGGTTCTTGAAGGTCAGTTTAAAAAAAAACAACTAATCACAGCAACAATAATGCTTTTAGGGATCATTTTTTATATATTTTTCTCAAAACGTGAT